TCACATAAAATAATCTCTATGGAGTAAGACCACCACTCGTTCAAATTATTGCAAGACATCCTTTTCTCGTGGATACCATGTACCCCTGAATAGGAGGTTGACCTATCTGCTGCCACACCTACTGCATGGATCTTTCTAAACCGTTGAAATTGTGTGGAGTGGGGGGGGGGGGGGGGCTTGGACATTCCTTTTGAAAGTCCCAAATGTGTTCAATGGGATTCAGATCCGGGTATTTGGCAGGCTAGTGCATCACACAGATGCCTTTTTGTCAACACTCAGACCCTCCTTGGGCGTTACGCACGTAAGTGTACCTCTTTAAGGATGATTCAGACTGCTTGAGATGATATTGGACTGCCACGGGCACCAATTTGTTGCCATTCTGTTACCATTGAAGTTGCCGATTTAAATGTTTCTAAAGTGGTTCAGGAGCATGTAACAATTTTTTAACCTGGTGTTGACGCGAAACCTTGGCCTCAGACGAAGATCCAGATCACTTCCGGTTTCGTTAAATTTTGTCGAAAGCTTTCAAATTTGGATAAGTTGGCGATAAAAATGAGACATAACCTATAGGAAAATGTGTTTAAATGTATTTTATACTGGTTGTTAACTTTCAAAAATAAAATCAAGGACAAATAAACAGTAAAATAAAAGTTAGTAAAACGTATCCTAAGGATGATCCAGATATCAATATTCCAACGGCTCTCCCTAATTCCTCAATGGTCATTATGCCCATGTTTTGTGTTTTTTAGTTAAACCAGTTGTTAAAAATTGATAATGATCACAAAAAGAAGATAATTACGCAAAGCACGTGTCGAAAAGTACAGATTTATTGTTTTTAAGCTTCGTCACGGGACATTGGTTTTCAACGGTGATAAGTGATTTTCTTTCAACAATTGTTGAGAAGACTCATTGGTTATAATAAGTTGAAAATATCATACCATTCCATCATGTAGTTTTTAAATAAATACATTTATTAGAGTGAACACTTAGAAGTTTTGTTAAGTGTATACCTGTAAAACTTGAAAGTCGTAGTACTACCTGTTCAAAAGTTATGGCCAAAGTTAGTTTTTGAAAAGTGGGTCAAACTCATAGGTCAAGATCAAGAGGACAAACATATTTCCACCCGTGGAAATCACGATGAATACAAATGAGGAATATGAAAGTCCTAGCACGAGCTGTTCAAAACCTATGGTCAAGGTTAAAGTTGGGTAAAGTTTTGCAAAAGCTGGTCAAACTCCAAGGTAAAGAGGTCAAATATGTTGGTACCCAAAAGGAAGGCCTTGTCACAAGGAATACACGTGTGAAATAAGCTTATGATAGCCATTGCTCCAAGCAATCAAAAGTTATGGGCTTTAAGATTTGGCTTTAATATTATACTTGTATATAACTTGTGACAAGACCTTTCCAAATATACTCCCCATGACCTTGATCTACTTTTCAAAACATTTTGTCTTTGCTTTTAACTTTTGATTGATCGAGGAGAGATAGGGCTTTCATATTTAACACGTGCATTACCTGTGACAAGACCTTTCCGAATATACTATGGTTTTTGACATCTTGAACTTGAAGTTTGGCCTACTTTTTCTTTGTATATAACATTTGATTGAAAAAAGATAGGGCTTTCATATTTGACATGTGCATTACCTGTGTCAAGACGTTCCCAATCATGCTATGATTTTTTACCCCTTGACCTTCATGTTTGACCTAATTTTCAAAAAAATTAACTTTGGTAATTGCTTTTGAATGACATGTAAAAGGGCGTTCATTTTTGACATGTGTATTACCTTTGTGAAAATGTTTCCGAAAGTGCTATGAGATTTGACCCCGTGACCTTAACCTTCAAGTTTGACCTAATTTTCAAACATTTTATCAGTGTTGCTAACTTTCGAAGGAACGAAGATAGGGCATTTGTATTTGACATGTGCATTACCTGGGACAAACATTTACAAATGTACCATAAAATTTTTCCCTATGACGTGACCTTGATGTTTGACCTTATTTTCAAAAATTTTAACATTACTGATAACTTTTGACTGAGAGAAGATATAGCATTTACATTTGACATGTGCATTACCTGTTTCAAGACCTTTCCGATTGTATACTCTGGTTTTTGATATTTTTTTCACATGTGCATTACTTGTGACAAGACCTTTTGGATTTTATTATGATATTTGACCTCATTGACCTCATGACCTTGATGTTGAAGTTTGATGTAGTTTGATTTTTTTTTTAATTTGAGAAGCTATAATCTTTGTCATAACTGTTATAAATTCAATAATTTATGTCTTTTTTGTATAATGCACAGGCAAGACAGGACACACAAATAAGACATTTACAATATGCCATAAATAATGACATCCCATCCACTAAGACAGCGGGGGACCACAATTCTTTGAATTTGCTTGTTTTATGAATCATTATAATGTTTAAATCATCACCCACAGATGCACTGAATACAGACGAGTGTTGTCTTCTTTACAAACGTAGTTTTTCCTACTTTATTACTTTACATTTAGATGTAGAAATCGACAGAAATTCAAAATATTTAACAAAAAAAAAATGTATATTACTAAACCACCATCACCCTTTACATGTATAATCACCCTCTCTCGGTTTCTACAAAATAATTTGATCAATGCTTGTTTCATTTTTTCGGATTTTGTCCAGGAATATATCATATACCTAGTACATGTAGTTAGTGGGAAAAATAGCTCTTCAGAGCTAGTGTTTCTTGTTGTCTTATCCGACTTAAAATACAAAGTACAAATATTTATTGGCTCAAACACAATTACGATAATTGGCAAAGGCCCATTGAAATTCACAAGATAATGTTTAGTACATAATTTTTATGTAGTATTAAGTAATTGACTTCTATGTTAAAAACAGTCTCTAATAAATTCGCAGTAACTTTTAAATAAATATTATCTTATCTTATCTAGCCCTGATGCACACCTATTGGGCTTTGTGAGTCATCGTCTCCCGGGCTTGGGTCGATACCATCCAATCGGGCAGATACCAGGGCCGAGATCAAAATATATAATATATATATATATATACAGTGTGTTACAAAGATGATCATCGAACCGGGTTACAACGTTACAACTTACAGATTTGAGATTTATAGTAACTGCATGTTTGTTTTACTTACGATAGAAAAAACTTGGTTGTCTTACTGTCAAAGCAAATGAATTGTTGTTTTAAGTGAAACAGAGTTACCTCTCTTAAGGTATGTCACTCGTGAAATTAGTTATATCAGGGATTTCTTGAGAAGTATATTTTAGATAAGTACTCAATGACATATAGCATGATTCAAAATCGCAGAGAAAATTAAGAGTCAGTGTGCATCTTACTGAGCAATGGTACAATTCATTTGACCTTTTTGCACTTAAATTGTGACTCTAAGGTTACTTTAATCTTTTATCTTTAGACATATTTTATCAGATGTAATCATGGCAATAAATATGATCTTATTTTACGTAAAATAGCTTGAATAATATGTATCATTGAACAAATCATGCAAATTAATGCGCATAAATCATTGTGTGACCTTTTTGCATTAAAAATCATATTTGGGGTATTAAAAATCTAAATAGGCAATAAAATATTTTCTTGTATCAAACTTTTTATGACTTTAATGCTGATTGGTTGGTAGTACCGTGTAGTTTAAAATAATAAAAGAAAAAGTTGGGGTCAGTGATGAAAAGTTTGAGATATTGGTCAAAATTTGCGATTTTGGGCAAAAAAAAAAAAAAAAAAAAACAGTGTAAATTTCATCTTGACTTCTTTAGTATATTTTCATTTCTTGGCAAAGTCTGTTGAGTGAATGTGTAAAATTTGTTTTAAAAGTATACATTGAAACCTATATTTAATATCCCTAGCATATAATAACGGGAAATACTCTCTGAGTAAATGGGGCTAAAGTTTCAAGATATTAATTGTAACAAATGTGTAGATTTGAAGAATTTCTTCTAAATATCCTTCCACCACAAAAAATAGTCACCCATAAATCTTGTTCCTTTATGACTTTGTGAGCAGTTTTTAAATTGAATATTGTATAATTTGCATAGTTTAATTCAAATGTGTTGTGGAGGTTCTGACCGAACTTTTCTCAAAAGCTGACGAGTGACATACCTTAAGTCATAAACACCATCAATAGGCGCACTTTTTATAAACAGTTTTCTCAATATTATAGCATAAATAAATAATGGTTTTAAAAAGATTCGGATCTAATTTTAGTATAACAAACAGTTACTATAAATCCCAGACCTGTAACGTCTTGTTGAACATGATGTAAGGATCCAAAGTGAAAGTAGGCTAGCGTTTTCTAATGTTTGGGACCTTTAAATCTTTGTAATCTAAATAAATGTGCTTTGGAATGATATAATGTTTCAATACACCATGTCTAATCTTTCTAATGACCAAATCAGACAAATTCTTTCTCTAGATGATAAATCATCTTCGTCAAGCAACATTTTTACGTACTTGATGAACATCGAAAATAAAGATTATTTCTTGAAACAAAATTTAATAAAACTTTTTGTGGGGAAAAAAACATCTTTAGTTGATATTTGTTCTTTTATTGCCTTTGGTTTAAGATATATGATATAAACAACATTACATCACTGTTTTGATTTCGGCCCCGGTATCAGCCCGGAGGGCGCGGGCCGAGATCATCCGAGGGCTGATACCGGGGCCGAGATCAAAACAGCAGTGTGATATTCTATACAAGGGTCAAGAAGCGGTGATTTTAATCGCGCTGAACACTTCATGTCCTCGCTAATTAATGCATGATTTAAAATTAAATTTGTGCTTTTGGCCACTCAAGTGCGCTAATTTATGACTGCATTAAGATTGCGCTACATTTTGAGTGCGCTGATTCATATGTATGCTCACAGCACATTATTCCTTTGCACATTTTTGAGAAAGTGGCATGTCTTGTCGAGGACATTTGAGGCAAATTAAGACACAATAAATCTATAGGAGCGTAAGAACAAGAAACCACGTCCCATCGATCGCATGTCACAAAAAACGTGAATCTTTTAGATAATTTAAGGAGATTGAGCAGCGATTTTTTTGGGGTTGACTATAGTTGACTATCGGAGACAGAAAAAGGAAGTTATCCGGTCGTCTGCAACGTCAGGTTTGTTCGTTGATTATTATTGATCAAGGATACTTGTAGGTGTAGAAATGCATTTTGATTATTGTTAATTTTGTACATATGCATTCTACTGAAAATGATAAGAAACTTCAAATGTCTATACCGTACGTCTTTTATAAAAGAATTCCTGTCTCTTAGCCGCACAGACTTTTTAGGTTACCTGAGTCACTCAGGTGTCAGGCCATCTTTAAAAAATTGTTTGGTTGCCTTCTCCCGACCGATTGGCTTAAAATGGCCCAACTCAATTTTTTTTTTATCTTCAGGAAACAATTATTTTTTATGCATTCCGGAAAACAGATTTTGAAAATTCAGCATTCATGTTGAAATTTTGTGTATACCTACCGACTCAATTTTCTCATCCTGAGTCGGGAGAGGGCAAACGAACATTATTTTCAACTTGGCCTGACCTATTGCTATATGTTTTTGTCCTGCATCCTCCGTCTTGCGTTAAAATTTCAGCATCTTCTGCTTCTTCTCTGCAATCGCTAAGCCAATTACAGCCAAATTTAAGGTAAAGCATCGAAGGGCAAAGGGAAATAAAATTTTGAAATAATTTATCTCTGCCCGGGGGGGGGGGGGGGGGAGGGGGGGCTTGTGTTAAGGCGGGGTTCTATTGATGATATAGTGAAAATGTTTTCTTAATTCTGCATGCTCCTGAGTATTAATCAGATAATATTAATTCTGAAAAATTAAAAATTCTTGGTCCCTGCGTCAGAGGTTCCGGTGTTATGGGGCGGGGCTACATTAACCATATATTGAAAATGCATTTATAAATTCACTGAAAATTTTCTTGTCTACGCCTAGATATTTAGCAGACGAACTAAGTGCATAGATATGATGAGCAAGAGTGAAATTCATATAAATGTTGTGAAATTCATCGTCCCTGGATCAGGGGTTCTAGTGAATGTTCGGGCGGGACTCTTGAACATAAACCCATTGAACATCTTCTTCTTTAGCAGATACATTAAGTGGTTGCATTATGATGAACAAGAGTGGCTCTTCCAAAATTGTGAAAGTCATGGCCTCTGGATCAGGGGTTCCAGACTTACGGATTTTATAGTAAAAATGCGTTTATTCTTGAAAAATCTTCTCCTCTGCTCCAGCGTATTCAGCGATAGAGATTGATGAGGAAGTGTACCATCTTCCATAATTGTGAAACGCATTGCCTCTGGGTCAGGGGTTCTAGAGTTAAGGCGTGGCTCTATTCAACATATAGTGAAAATGTATTAATTCTAATTCTCTGTCCTTGGGGGTCTATAGGACGCAAACAGAGGACAAAGTTGTAAAGTTGTAATGAGCAAGGTTGTTTTACCAGATTTGTGAAATTCATGACCAGTGGGTCAGGGTTTATGGTGCTGGGTACGATCATGTAGAGAATCTGTACTCTACTTTGAGAAAAGTTTTTCTCCTTATCTATTCACCTATATGATAATTTATCACTATAAATAATGTAATTGGTAAGTAAATCAATGAAAAGAATTTTTATTCATGCAAGAATTTTTAATGTAAAAACAAAAGAGTGCTGTTATAGATTTTTTTAAGGTCAGGTATAGACTTGTAAATAATAGATGAATAAAAATGGGAGAAAAAAATCTTATATTTGTACATCACATATTATTCAAAGACAAAGAGATGCCAATGAATCAGGGATTGTGCAAAGACATTAGATACACTTAACATGTTCCGATAAATGTGATTTATGCTTACACATTATTGTGTTGTTTGGTGATAGTGATCGAGTTTAGTTGGTATTGACACATACAGGCAAGTAAATAGATCTGCATTCTGAGCTGTTATACTGATTACCAGACTAATAATTTTGTCAATGCATGATCGTCATACTTCATTTATTTTTAAGCAACAAATCCATCAGATTATTTTGTTTTATTATGTACAAGTAAGTATCAAACTGTATCTCTTTAGATCATTTATAAGGTTGTATGAATTATATTCAGGCGAACCTTAAGGCCCTTGGGCCTCTTGTTAAATTTTGACTTTAAAATCGACATTTCCTCCAACTCCAACTAGTTTCAATCTTTTAAGAAAGTCTTACGTCTTTGATTGCAAAACTTCGCAGATTGTACATGTAATAAACTATTACGTTTTATCTAAATGAATTAAAATACTTCATTATTACTACAACCGTATTGAGCTAAATTTCTTTATATTCAAAGACTTGGTTTTTAAAGGGACTGTCCGTATTGTTGTACTTCGATCTGATTTAAAAAAAAAAAAAAAAAAAACATTTAACAGCCATTTTATAGTTCAGTGGTAACTATCGAGGATTGAGTAGCATGCAACAGTTTCACATAATAAGGTCAGTAATCTTAAAGGAATTTAGGATAATTAAATTTTAAATCAATTTTCAGTGCAATGAGAATTAAATCTATCGTCTTACGCATCAAGAATCGGTTGTAACACATGTAGTTTTTGAAATACGTGACGTTATTTAAGCAATTTTCTTATCAGCCATAAAAATGAATTTATTATACTTGTAAAACTTTATATGTGACAAGAAATATTCTGAAACTGGCTGGGAAACTTTAAAAACCAGGCGATATATTGCAAAAATGACAACTACAGTGTATGTTCAAAATTCACACGAGAAGAGTACCTGAGTATTTGCATGATACATGTATTGTCCCCAATAAGCGTGAGCATGTATCCCTATACAATACCCGTAATAAACAGATTATATTGTTCCAAGGTGTAGATTAGAATTATTTAGAAACTCTTTCGTACCTGATGCTGCAAAACAATGGAATTTACTAAAAACAGAGGTCAGAGAAGCCATCTCAATCAAAACATTCCGAAATTAAAAAACTTGATAATAAAAATTATAAATCCACCATCATACTTCTCGTTTGGTAAGCGATACACCAATATCATTCATACTAAGCTAAGACATTACTGTATACTAAATTATGATCTTTATAAACGAAACATTATAAATAGTCCCTTATGTTTATGTGGAAAAAATGAAGATGTGTACCATTTCTTTTTTGTATGCAAAAATTAATCCAATGCAAGAAGTACACTCTTTTTAATCGCTTTGTTCACTCTTGAATTGGTTACTATTGATATAAATCTATAATTATGTGGTGATGTTAATTTGCCTTTAAAGATAAATAACTGTATTTTTGCTGCTGTTCATAAATTTATTGACGAAATATGTAGATTCTCTAGTTGCTATGCTATTTAATTTTTCACTTGTATTAATTGTATTATTTTCCCTCTATTTTGCATGACAAATTGTTATATACAAGGAGAGGAACATTGTAAGTTGTAAAGAACTTGTTTCCAATCCTTTTGATGTACTCAATAAAATATGTTCAAAACAAAACAAGAAATATTTACAATGTTATGACGTACCAGACTAGTATCTATAGTTCAGATAACCAATTTATTTTAGCGTGTATGTTTTTATTTCACGTATCAAGTTGTATTTTTTTCCTAACCAAAACTGGTATTAACCTAGAATTTACTCAAATTTCTTTTTCCAGTATTAAGTTGTTCGTGGACTTTAAACCAGGCTAGAAAGAAACTCCAACAAAAGTATTTCCTGTACTGTGTTAATTTCCTGTCAGTGTACAAAAATATACACTGAGGTTTCCGTAATCGAGGTTTTAAAATACTTGTAAGGGTTGAACAGTTAAGCTTAGATCATTTATTTCCGTTGGATTGAGGTCTTATGTGGGTCTTTTGTTATTAATACTGTTTTAAATCGGTTGTAATCTGTAAAAGATAGGGCTGGTCAAGGTGTTCTCTCTCTCTCTTTTTTTTTTTTTTTTGGTCAGGTGTAAATCTTGATTTTATTAAAGTCAAGGAAAAGGCAGGCAGTAAAGAAAGGATGGGTTACTTAAAAAGAGGACATGTTTAGAGGGAAAGGAGGGAAACTGCTTTAAACTTTACATATAATTCACGAATTCATTATGCTTTAAAAAAAACCAAAACACAGTGTATCTAAGTGTCGGATCTACTAGTAAAACATTGTTCGTGTCGTTGGTCATTTTTAGTGCCCCCACTTGCCACTTTTTTATCAAATAAATTTTAATGAGAAATGTGCTGTTAAACATTACAGTAACATCGATAAGAATGAACATTCTTATTTAATATAAATGGCGGAGGGGGGGGGGGGGTTAATACTGAAGAGAAAAGTCTATATCCAATCCAATTTTCTTATCAACCTTAGCCCTCCCCCCCCCCTCCCCGAAAAAAAGCACTTAAAGGAGATCGAAAAATCTATTCAATATCAAGAAAATCCTAAACCCCTTCCCTCCCCGGGTTAGTCCATGTAGACTGCCGAAATATATACATTGTATACCAGGAACAAAGTTGTACGTGTACACCGTAACTTTTAACACATGCTGTCCATTATCGCTGCATAAGCAAATGTCTATACCATGACCTTTCGAGCTATTGATCGTGTTGTGTACAGAGACACATTCAGCAGTGTTAATTAGGGTGGAAGATTCAAGACTGCTTTATATGGGGAAAGATTCGCTTGTACACAACTACATTAAGAAATCAAGGTAGGGTTCTCTTTGTTTTATGGGATTTTACACGTGTGTCTCTTAGTTTACTTACAAGAACTTGCTGTCTCAGTATATATTACGTATAGTGGAGTTCTCTTTGTCAGAGGTGTAAAGATCGAGTTGTCATGCCCTTGAGAATCGAAACAGGGCAGCGTAATGCAGTTCCCGTATTGATTTTTAGGTATTTTAACCTCTTAGAACTGCCGATGCAGTATTTCAAGAAGAATATATATGTGTTTTTTATCAGGCCGTGACAAGATATAAATATCGGGCCGTGCTGGTAATGTGAGAAGATTGAGGCGCTCAATAATTGTCTGAAGCAAGTGGAATATTAATCCATGATCGGTTGCCATGGCATTATCAATAGTTCGCTAATGAAGTGAAAATTATTCTGAGACAAGACGGAGAAATGATACATTCTATATTGGCTGACTTGCTTCATAAATAGGTATATCTTGGATATTTTGGGACTTAAATCGTTTATGTTTAGGTGATTTTGCTTCTTGATTTTCTTTTGTTAATTGATCTTGTATCATAATATTAATTTTTGGTTAAACAGTTATATATATATATATATATATATATATATATATATATATATATATATATATATATATATATATATATATATATATATATATATATATATATACTTTTTTTTCTTTTTTTACGATTTGAATGATTTGATCCCTTGATAACAAAACCGGACATGTTTTTTCATTAATCACTTTGGTGAATCTTTTACGTACTACACACAGTACTGTGGCATGTACACGAGGAAATGGTTGAATAATATAAACGATTTTTCTTTGTAAAAAGCTTGCGTGACATGTTGTGAAATTTTTTTTAATCGCCAGAGTAATATTTGCTAGGTTTTCCAGCTCAAATCCTTTGCCTCCGTTTTAAGAAACCATAAATCAATCTGGTGACCTAAACCTACAGTGAAAGAATATAAGACACCTGGTAACATAAAGCTAAAAAAATTAATAAGATATCTGGTAGCATAAAGCTAAAAATGGATAATAAGATATCTGGTAGCATAAAGCTAAAAATGAATAATAAGTTTTCTGGTAGCATAAAGCTTAAAAAATGAATAAGATATCTGGCAGCATAGAGCTACAAATGAATTTAATAAGACATCTGGCAGCATAAACCTAAAAATGAATAACAAGACGTCTGGCAGCATAAAGCTTAAAAATTGATAATAAGATATCTGGATCATAGAGCTAAAAATGAATTTAATAAGATATCTGGCATCACAAAGCTAAAAATGAATAAAATCTGGCAGCATAAAGCTAAAAATGAATAATAAGATATCTGGTAGCATAAAGCTAAAAATGAATATTAAGATATCTGGAAGCATAAAGCTAAAATGAATAAGATATTTGGTAGCATAAAACTTAAACTGAAAAAAAAAATATCGGAGGATTTTTCTGGATGGATGTTGCTCTGTTTACTTGATTCATTGATTTCCATAATATTCTAATGAGCCTGTAAAATATGTCTTAACATGTTCATTGAAAACATTTTGATTGCTAAGTCATGAATGCGTCACTTTCCCCTACCCCCCACCCCAACAAAAAGGTAATTCATATTCATTTATTGTCGAAGTCATTTGATACTACCTGTTCGTTTTTCGAAATCTACACAATATACAATTACTTTACATGTGTATTTTTTTCTCTGGAGTGAAAAAATAATTGAATATCAATGGAAGAAGCTAGCTACACTGTTACTTTTCACATCTATTAATTTCTTAAGTAAACTGACGGCTTACGCCATTTAAATAGAACTCGCTTTTCAAGACATACATCTGTACCTTAAAGCCAGGATAACAAAGTCAAGCAGACAAGACTGATTTTTTTTCTACATAGCATTTTGAAATTAAAAAAAAAAAAACAAAACAATTCGACCGGGATGTTGTTCAGGTTTTTCCGCTCAATGCTTTCCACATGACCTAGCTACCTTCATAGTTGTATTTTGGGGAAAATCTCCCTTCCAGATTAGGCATAGTACATGTACCTCTCGATTTCTCAGCTATGCCACATCCGTCAGACATTAATTACTGTGTCTATTTTATTTCCAGACTAAAATGAGGTCAAGCCGACTGTCGATGAATCTCTACAATTATATTCTAGGAGGTGGATCCAAAAATCCGTACAGAAAAGTCCTTCTTCTATCCCTGTTGTTCGCCATCACAGTCTGTATATACAACGTTGTCAGGTTCAATGCAGTTTACCATGACCACTGTTTACATTGGTCAGAAACATCGGACATTGTGATACCAGAAGATGAGCAGCTCCATCAAATGTCTTTGTATAGGCTCTCATGTTTATATCAACGTTATGTCACTTCCCCTCAAGCTTTATGTACGGAACCAAAGCGTTTTGGGAACGTGGATTACGGTGGTGTTCGAATTTGCGCGGATGGCGGTGTGACGCCGAGTTTAGGTTGTGTTGTGTACAGTTATAATCATGATTTAAGTGATAGGTTCGTTGAACAGATACATGCCAAATACAAGTGTGGCGTTGTCTTCTATGGGGATGAGATGGAACAGCGGAAAAATACACACATTTTAAGATTTAATAAAATTATATACAACTACGAAAGAGAACTCAGCGTGGTGATTCTTAAAATCAAATCTAGTGATTTTCCGTTTCTGTTAGATTTTAGCAAAAGTGTAAAAGTAGCTAATATAAAGCAAATTATTTTAGAAATTCACTATGATACAAACAAGGAAAAGGTGGAAGATTACATTATGTTGCTTACAGCATTACGTGAATTACACTCTTCTAATTACGTCATATATTGGTTCGACAGAAACTGGGAATATGTCGAATACAGTAGGAGAAAACAAAGAAAATCGAAGTGTTTTACCATAAATATGTATTTGAAAAATCAAAACATTACATCATTGTCCCAACGAGAATCGAATACGATTTCGCAGGAAATAAATTTACCAAATATAGCTCCACTTGGAATACGCTCTCTAAGTAAAGAGGAAGGTTTGAAATATGAAAAGATGTATGTCAATTATATTTCAAAGCATCAGATTCTTTGCAAACAGATGATTCGTTTAGGGAATATCGTGGACGGAGGATGGGACGTGTGTCATGATTTCCGCTTCCGCCCTAAATCACCTTGTATAGTGTATTCAATTGGAATAAGTAACGACTTCTCTTTTGACGAAGACATGGAGAAAACGTACGGATGTGATGTATTTTCATTTGATCCGAGTATGAATGTCGGAAATTATAAACATTCGGAACACATCATGTTTTATCAAGTTGGACTCGGTGATAAAGTTAGTGAGATCGAGGTGAAAGGATTAAAATGGAAAATCAAAAACTTGAAGACAATTATGAAGGAATTAGGGCATACAGACAAAAAGATCGATGTGCTAAAAATAGATATAGAAGGAAGTGAAAGACAGAGTCTTCCCGAAATGATAGAATCAGGTGCTCTAAAAAATGTAGTGCAACTATGTTTAGAATTTCATAGTTATTATGACGTTGGTGCCATGAGAAAACTTTATGATCTCGGGTTTAGAATATATTGGGCTCATCAGAATCCTACAGCGCCTATGTACAAAAGTGACGAAACTTTTTCTTACGGGATGGAAGTGTATTTTGTAAATATTAACTTTAAATAAACGATTTAAATTTCCAAAACTGTAGAAGAATAATACTCATTTTATTTTTTTAAATTGTTGGTTGTTTAAAAATCAATCTGATAGTCAACATGTACAATTATTGGAACTTTTTCAAGTAATTGCATAATAACTATACTTAAAATATTTTATTTTTTTACTTGTTGCAATCTGATAGTCAACTTAAATTGTACAGTTCTTGAAAATTTTTCAAGTATCCAGACTGACAACATTTGGAAAATTGTATCAGATCGAACACTGAAATACACTGACACTTTTAGTCAATCCACAGAAACATGTATTTTTGTTATTCAAATCCTATAAGCAGTCCCAGTCTGATATAGCAAACTATACAGTCGTTATAAATTTACAGATAAAAAGATCTGGCGGCCGCCAGATAATTCTTTGGCGGCGGCCAGTCATCCTTCTGGCGGCCGCCAGATAATTATTTGGCGGCCGCCCGAAATTTATCTGGCGGCCACCAGATAAACTATTTTTTTCTACCTGGCACCTACCGGCTTCCTTAGAAATCATCCACATCGATGAAATAGGAGAGCGCGGAGGGCCAGAATTCAGCAAACAATTCCATCAAATTTCTAAGTTTAAATTTTTGTGGAATTTAAAAAAATCAGTTATAGTGAATTTTTAGATTTCACCCCCAAATTTGATATTATCGGCTTAGATGTTTGTCCATATGTTTTGTTCTACCCGTGGACTCGATCAAGAGCTTCTACTTAGAAAACTCACATTTCACTTGTACATGTATAGTAAAGATCTAGTGATATTTTTAAATATTTTTTTCTTCTGTAGTCATTTTAAGTCTCTTTACTACATTTAAATCGAACTGAACTGCTCTCTGGTGCATCGTAACGTCGTCAAACGTCGCCATTTTTCGTGTGTTGTGTTGACCACTTCCCCATTTCAAATGCTCGGGAAACTGCCAAAAATTGAGCAAATGTCTTGAAATTTTCGAATTGACGACAAAATAGATAGTGGATTGAAAATATGATAATTTCTACCCCAATCATATATATATGTAATATTTGAATTTCGAAAAAATACGTACATTTTTTGATCGTGCGCAGTGGTACCGTACCCTATACACATTCAAGTATAATAATTTTTTTTTTATTTTTGTCTACATCTTACATGTACAAAAAAAATTGAAATGTTAGTTTAGTGCGCCCATTTTTTTCGATAAAAAAACGCTTTGTCCAAGATTTTACCGGATAAACCTCGTACATAAATGTGAGGATATTTTTAAGACAGTAATTGAGACCAGTTATGAGTACCTAGTAAATATAGTCTACTCATGTATACCAAATCTTATTGACATAGAACCAAAACTGTAGGAGGATTTACAATTTGATAAAAATACACCGATTTTTTTTAGTAGCCATGGCAACATCAATCGTCGAAATCAGACAGATTCATATAGTTATGAATCTTACAGTGTAAAATAATTATACGGTAGTGCATGTAATAAAGTAATTATATGGTAGTGCATCGATATACATACAATGTATACTAAATTGTAGAGAACAAACGTAATTTACGGTCGTCTTCTCTAAAAAAAAAAAAAAAAAAAAAACGCATGATAAAGCCCCCCACCCACCCCTACTTTTTTTTGCTTGTCAGGGAATTTTTCTCTGATGGTACTGCTTTCCCAACTAAATTTGTTCCTACTGACTTCCCTGGAGGTGAACGTCGACTTATTGTAGACGAGTTTACGCGAATTCGAAATAATTATTGTGCGTCTTCTTGGTTTTTCAATAAACTGATTAAAATCAGATCTTTGTTACGCTCCGAAAATGTTGCCATAGCATTTCACACGAAAATAAAATTAAAAACTTATTTTATCTGGAAATTATTGAAACTACGAATTTCGGGAGGCGTTTGAAAGCCACATCCTTGCACTTTCACAATTCTTAACTTTATACCTAATACTTAGAAAAGTAGCAATTTTGTTGTGTATTAATGAGTAATATTACATCTATAATCCAGAAAATTCAGAGTAAAAATGTGCGAAAGCAAAACCCACGTCAGCCCGTGCTCAGTGTTGTGTAGTTGTGTACAGAGTTTAACAAATTGAATACACCCGTGAAACGTAAACTGTTTTCGTAAACAGGGCACGAGCTCTGTTGTTGTTAATGTTTACATTTCACCGGGTGTGTTCAATTGTAAAACTCTGCACACACCACTGAGCACGGACTGACAATACTGGTGAGAGGATTTTGCTTTCTACATTTCTACTCTGAAATTTCTGCATTATAGTTTTTAATATTTTTCATTAATAAACAACAAAATTGCTACTTTTCTAAAGTAATAAGGATAAAGTTAAAATTTTTGAAAGTGCAAGGATGTGTCTATCAAACGCGTCCAGAAATTCGAAGTTTCAATAACTTCCAGATAAAATAAGATTTTTATCAAATTTTCATATGAAATGCTATAGCAACAAATAAGTCATGAAATTGTACAGAAAATTTGAGTAAAAATTAACTTCAAATCTGTGTCTAAGCACCTTTAATGAATCGTCCTTAAAAGTCCCATTATCCATTTCTCCTATATTCTTGAAACATGATGAATTTACCTCCCTCACTCCAAATCAGTTAGGATACACAAAGAACAATCTTTTAAAGATTTTATTGCGTACTTTGAAAGTGAATTTTATCATTAATTTAATAAATGTAAGTGTAGAAAATTTAATTTTGTATCCATGCATGGTAAAAGTTTAACAGTCTGAAAACATTTTGCAACGATTATGTAACGAAGTTATTAATATGTTTGTCTTGTAAAGATCATAAAGTTACATGACCAAAATTTCTGATATTATAATAGTATAAATACCCTCATTCCGTCTTTCAAAAATTTCCAAATCTAACTTAATTGGGGTTTTCATCTGATTAAATCGCAAATATTATGAAACAGATAAATGCAATTCACCATAATCTCTTGTTTTCCTATCAGTAGACATCTTTTTTAAAAAAACATTTAACGAAAACCTTCTATTACGAAAAAATTAAAAGGGTGTAATAACACAAAGTGAAAATATTGCGAAAAAGACGTAATAAGGCAAAGTGAAGACGTAATAATGCGGGAAAAAAAAACGTAATAAGGCAAAGTGAAGACGTAATAATGCGGGGGAAAAAAAAGATGTGATAAGGCAAAGTGAAGACGTAATAATGCGGGGAAAAAAGATGTAATAAGGCAAAATGAAAAGGCGTAATATCGCGAAAAAAGAAAAAAAAAGTAATGTGGCAAAGTGAAAAAAGTTAAGGGCGATATAACGCAACGTGAATAACGCTAAAAAGGGCGTTTATATTTAAGCCTTTCAAAAGACGTATACAATAAGGCAAAGTCAAAAGGCCCTTCAACGCAAACATGCCCTATTGTGCCTTTTCAAAAAGCGTTATAACCTTTTTTTGAAAGACCTTATAGCGCTTTCCATTTCCCTTCTTCGCATTATTACGCCTTTTTGTTTTCCATTGATTCTAATAAGCTTTTACAAGATTAAAATATTACAAAAGCACAGGAAATATTTTTATCATACAATTGGTAAACGGGCATCTTTTGGTGTTACATGTAGTTCTGGAGTTCTTGTTATTAAATCTTTTACTTCACTTTTCACTAAATATAGCATAAAAGTTCAATATCACATATGTTTCCTCCCATTTCCCGGATTATTTCTGTTTATGAACGTAAGAGTCTGTCTGCTCCAGTACTGAACCATCTTCTCCTGACAACAGAAAATAAATCTGTGTGATATCAGAAAATAATTCTGTGTGATACCAGAAAATAAATCTGTGTGATATCAGAAAATAATTCTGTGTGATACCAGAAAATAAATCTGTGTGATATCAGAAAATAAATCTGTGTGATACCAGAAAATAAATCTGTGTGATATCAGAAAATAAATCTGTGCGATATCAAAGCAATACCCCCAGATCACCTCTAACCCAACAAACCACATTGCAATTCAAATAGACTTTTCTATAAATCATATATGAAACCGGATTTACCAAAAGTTCTCCCGTTATAAAGTACGTTTTCCAAACATTTAATTTTTCGCTGAAAAAAGAAATCTTGTAAAGTTCAAATTACATGTATGCATTAACAACAACAGTCTATTGAGAAAAGTGCACTATACCTTATAAAATGGACAGAGGCGCCTAATCCAATGACTATTGCTACCGGACCTAATATCAGTCCCGTAATCAATCCTGCTTGTGATGTGTCTTTCTCTGGGGGAAAATTATCAAAGAAATATTAAACGTAGTATGCTAACAATATCATAATAGAAGAAAACATGTACATTTGTAGTGTTGAGAGTGGCCAATTGGCAGATTTCAACAACCCCCTCCCCCACCCCGGGTTAAAATTTTCATGTGTATGTAACGGAAAACGCTCATTATATTACAATATGTGTATCAAAATACATTAGAATCGATACATTTTTAAAATACATGTACGAAATTTGGTTCTCTGTAAAATCAGTGCTACGTGGATTTTTCTTGATTACATGTACAAGCAATTGCTATCACAGGCCTAGGAGAATCGGCGATTTCCACAATACAGAACTGATATAGGCTACTTTATTCATTTTTTATTTGTTTGTTTGCTGTTGAACGTCCCTTGGAGAATTTTTCACTCCACTTGCCGATGAAGGGCTGCAAATTTAGACCAGTACTCGGCACTTAAGGCCGAATAACTTTTTCGTGCCAGCACCTACTGCGACACGGGACCTCGATTTATACGGTCTCAACCGAAGGACCAGTCTTCACGTCCCACAGTGGGATTTGAACCCGCGACGTAAGAATCAACTCCTTATACTCTGTCCAGAGCAAATGCTTAACCACTAACAATCTGGCAATTTTTACCTTAATTTTGGGTAAAAAGAGTAAATTTCCAATTGGGACAGGGTCCTTTTATAGTACCTGGATGCAAGGGTTATTAAGCCCTAGGTTTTTTTTTTAATTTAGAAATGAAAATAGTATGCGTGAGTAATCAAATTTTTAAACATGAATCTTTATTATTTACACAGTAAAATCTGAGTCTTTTAAGTTTTAAACATGTGTCTCGGGAATGGGTGGGATGGAAGGGGGATTTGGGTGCTAGAATACATGTATTATTAAAAATATTCGCATATCTTTAGATTTAAACAAAAACGAAAGACAGTTATTGAGGTCAAAGACGTATGTACACAAGATAAATTGTGTATTTGTGTGTGTGTGTGTGTGTGTATGTGTGTCTGTGCGGGGGGGCTAAAATCCAAAAATAATAACACAGTGTCAATCACATGATTGTAATGAATACAGGGATAAAATGTATTCTGAATTACGACAATATCAAAGAAAGTTCTCTTATTACTTATTACATCGGACCGTGTCAGAGAATATTATTTACTTGACTGTGATATGCAAATGTTTGCATATCATTTGCATATATGCAGCTAGAAAGACAACAGTCAAAATCATGTTCAAAATACAATATTCAATACTGAACTGAAAACTTACCTACACACTGGGTTTTTGACGTTGAACCCTCTGACAGAGTGTACATATTTCCAGAACCGGGACATGCCTCGCAGCTGGTCTGTCCTGTACTATTCTGATAAAAGCTTTTTGGACATTTTTTACACACGTCCGTTGTAGTGTCATGATAGGTACCTTCTTTACACGCCTCTGAAAAAGTTTTAGAATGCTAGAAAGAATTTCTTTATTCGTAATTTAATTCTACATATTAAAACGTGCGAATGTAAACGTGAGAGATACAGGTATTTACATGTACATGTATGTCAATATGCAACATTTGCATGTTGACATAAATATATTAAAGATAACATTTGCACAGTAATTTCCTGTCTTGAAAAGTTAATATATTTAATTTTACGAATGATGCAATTTAACATGACTCACATGTTACATATTAAACCAATATTTGTTAATAAAGGACAGAATCAGGAGAATGGAAAATTGACTTTTATTTTCTATGGAACCAAAAAAAAAAAAAAAAAACTAAGTCCTTCTTGAATGACAAGCCAAACTAACAAATCACATAAAACATTGCACTCACCACAATTCTTGTTGTCGTCACTGAGAATCGTCCCATTTGCACATGTGACATTTTTACCCACATAAGTAGAATTAAGTAGTGTGACTCCCTATAGGTAAGAGGGAAAAATCGGAAGTTTTACACATTAGTTTTGCACTTCATTTTTATTTCACAATAACACATAATATTATAGAGATCGAAATGAGCAAGGTAACACATTACAATTTTTTACAGAAATCTTCGCAACTTTCTTCAGTAAGTTAGAGCTTTAATATTTTTTTCCCTCAATTAAACTTGCGGTCTCGGATTAGGTGTATATGTTCATATAGAGTAGATTCGTTTGTTCAAATCATGATGGGCTTGACCACAAAAGAGTGTCAAAGTTTGATATAATAATAAACAGAAAAAATTTGAAAAATTAAATAATTTTTTTTCCCGCAAAAATACCATAAGCACAAGTACATGTACTTATATTAATATACAAGCATCTCCAAGAAGTGTGGAAACAGGCTATATCCTCCCCCCCCCCCCCCCTCCCTTCCCCGAGGCTAGGGTTTGCCCTTAAATTAAAACTTCATAATCGATTATACAGGATTTTTAGAAAAACTCCTTTCGTGAATATCAACTCAACGACAAGTCATATACATAAACAAGCATCTATATTATGACCAATTGCAAAGACAAGTTAGTTCAATAACTTTGTAAAATTTTAGTATTCCATTTAACATCAAGACCTGTTCTTTGAAATAGACAAATTGTGACTCTGATTCTTATAAAAGATATTTGATGCTGTATATTTAACTACATGTATACTAAAACACTAAAATTTTGAAATGGAAAAAGTATGATTCCCAGTATATTTAAATGTACTTCACATTATCTCAAGTAGATACTAACATCTTTTTTTATTTTTTTTTTTTAAATTTTTCTTTGAATCGGATGAAATTTGTTTTCCGATTTGTTCATTTCAAGATGACTTGAATAGCCATTTTTTTTACCTGCTGTCAATGATAGTTGACATCACATTAAACTTCATAATTTTTTAAAGTTAAGTTTTGATAAAATTTGGTAAAAATAATGAACGAATACCAGTATCCCCCAAAAATTCACAATTCAAAAATGCTTTACCATTATTATCATGAAGAGCTTAAAACCTTCAAATACAGTAACTGTAATTTTTTTTCTTTATTCGCGAGAACATTATTTACACGTTATTACGCGAGACCGCCTGCAAGCAAAAAATTCATTCTCCCAAATATTTATATTATCAAAGATTATACATGTATAACAATGACCGAAATACGTGAACATTTTGTCTTATAAAAACCAAACAACTTTTTTTGCCAAAATAAGGAAAATATGGTGATATACAGTATATTCAACCAGATCTACTTTTAATCTAAAGACACTGAACCACCAATGTGTCTACTGTCACGCCTAGATTTTGACTTTTTAAATAGAAGAGCAGATTTGTCAAAAATACATGACAAAAGTCAATTGAATTAACTTAATGTACCTGCGGTGAATAATCTGTTTTCTGTGTTTCTATATCCTCTTGTAGAATGGATTCAGTTCGCACAACTTTTGAAGACTCACTACTATCCTCTACTGTTGGACTATTAAAAGAGAACCTTTTATTTTACAGACAAAATCAGCGCATTTTATTCAAAATCAAAACGTCGCATAATTAAAACTTATCACAACATTCTTCACAAGGTTCAGTAAAATATGGTTACAGGGAACACACTCATAATGAATTCATACTTATCTATGCGAAACGATTTTTATTCCCCATAGTTTAAAAAGAATAATTGTTATGATGAACTTAACGGATATGTAACGAATAAGGTTAATAACAATAAAACTACTGGCACTTTGCTATAAGTGTATTTTACTGTATGTTGTAAATATAATAATCAAGCATTCTTTTTGTTCATACCTTGTAGCAGGAATTTCCACATTAATATCCACATCAAAGAAATCCATGGATCTCTTTCTCCTGTTTGTTGTCTCACATGCTTTTAAATCAACCTTTACAGACTGAAAACACTCACTGAAGTTTTCTTTGTTGCACATACTGGGATACTCTTTTGCTAGTTCAATAAGTCGACTTATTACTTTAATTCTAATTTGTCCAAGAAACGCATTTTTAGCAGCTTCATCTACACAATCCACGTTCGTTCTGTATTTAAGACGAAATGAATATATCTGCTCTTTTGGTGGTACAGGAGTATTTGATATATTTTCTGAAAAATAAAGTTTAAGTTTATAAAATCATACTACTTTAACTCGTGAATTTTATATAGTTTTTGCTCTGTCCGTCCGTCTGTCTGTTTTTCTATTAATCTGTTTGCTCGCAAAATCTTTAAACTTAGGCTTAACCATAACTTTTGATTAGTTAGAGTTATGGCTTTCATATTTTACATGTACATTTCTTGCACACAAGATCTTTCTTTGGGTACCATCATATTTGATCTCTTGTCCTTGGATGTTTTACATTTTACCAAACTTTAACCTTGGTCATAACTTTTGAACAGTTGAACTTGACGCTAGGGCTTTCATACTTCATATGTGTATCCTTGTGCCAAGACCTTTTCTTTGGTACCAACAATTTTGACCTAGACCGTTGAGTTCGACCTACTTTTAAAAAAACCTTAACCTTCGTTATATAACTTTTGAATGGTTGGTGCAAATGCTTTCAAATATTCCTTGTAACAAGACTTTCTCGGGTGCGTATCATTACCGCTATATTTTCAAAATTTTCATTACCGCTACATCTATACTCATTACCGCTACAATCAAGATGTGTTTGTGAAACACTGATACCTCCGTATGGCAACTTTCAGTGAAGGTTTAACTTTCTCAAATGCAATCAAATACGTTGGTACCCAAAGTAAGGTCTTGTCTCGAAGAATATAGATTACCTGTGAAATATGAAAGCCCTAGCAGCAACCATTGGAAAGATATGGAAAAGGTTAAAGTTATTCAAAAGTGAGTCAAACATCAAGGTCATGGTCAATGATCAAATTTAATGGAGCCCAAGGAAAGGCCTTCTCACAAAAAATAGACATATGAAATATGAAAGCCCTAGCACCAACCATTCAATAGTTATGACCAAAGTTAAAGTTCATATTTCACATGCATATTCCCTCTGACAAGATCTTTCCTTGGGTACAAATATTTTTGACCTCTTAATCTTGACCTTGGTATTTGACCTACTTTTGAAAAACCTTAACCTTGGCTATGAGCTACCATGCAAGATCATCAGTGTTTCACAAACACCTTGTTTCCACAGAGGTGGAGCATGTCCACTAACAATCTATGATCTCAGTCTGTAACTTAAAGTGACGTTCTTAACACAGTTTACAAAAAAGTGAAAAGTTTACAGACGACAGATGTCTATCTACAGGCAGGGAAATGAGCTCAAATGACTCTTTGGCTCAATATTATGAGGAATTCAGGTCAAATTCCATTAGTCTACTGTCTTATTAGTCAGTAAAGTGATTGTAAAACTTGCACAGGTGAGAAAAAGCTCATGTGAAGGAGCTTTTTAACAATATCTTAGTATCTAGAATTTATATAGCAGGTTGAAGATGCCATTGTGATTTTACTTAGAAGTACATAACTTGAAATCTACATGCAAATCACAACTTTTCTCATAAGGGTTTACGTGTCACTGAGAAGGAAGAGGATGGTCCCAAATCGTTTCCTGCCGAGCTAACTATATACATATCAAAACACTGAAAATATGAAAGGGGGGGGGGTCGAGACCCCATTGCCATTGACCACCAATTCCCTATCCCCACCCTACTGGATTTCCCCTGGTAGGCAATGCTTTATATATCGAACTGAATTTAAAAAAAAAAGTGAAACATCTATAGGACTTTGAAGTGTACATGTACTTACCATAGGACGATGTGAGGGGCAGCCTCAGAAGCACTAGGAACAGGGCAAGTCCAGTATGAGCAATGTTGACCTCCATCATATGTAAGTATATATTTAACTAAATCTGAAGTAGAAGTGTGTCAACAGAAATTTACAGTATAATATTTTGGCACTTGTATAGTTGGGAAAATCTTCTTTTAATACTTTATTAGATCTTTAAGTACAAAAAAAAATCACTATCTTTGGAACAATTTTTTTTAGTCCTCTACCGGTGAAACCGGAGGGGACTTTAGGTTTTCTCCGAGTTTGTCCGTCCGTCTGTCTGTCTGTCTGTCCCACTTGGTTTTCCGCACTTTTTTCCTAAACCCTTGCAGATATTGAGCTGATTTTTGGTATGTGAGTGTATCTTGATGAGTTACAGATCAAGTTTGCATTTCGTTCCGTTTATTGATTGTTGAGGAATTACAGCCTTTTCAATTTTTAGGGGTTTTCCGCAATTTTTTTCTAAACGCTTTCAGATATTGAGCTGATTTTTGATATGTGACTTTACCTTGATTAGTTATAGATCAAGTTTGCATTTCGTCCCGCTTCATTGATTTTTGACGGAATTATGACATTTTCAATTCTTAACGGAAACCAGATTACACTTGCCGGTAGGGGACTAGTATTGCTAATGCAATACTCTCAGAATGCTTGTTTAATCTTGCAGATATTTAGATTAGAATGTTTTTTACAATGAAATTTCATTAGTATCAGAGCATTGTTGGTATTGCAGTTGTTTTCTTTTAAAAGTCTTACTTTACACAAGTGACTAAGGTAGAAACAGTTCATACAAAATTCGTCTTTTGTGGCCTAGTAGTTCTTAAGATTTTTAAATAACCCCACCATACACTCTTTCCTGATTATCTTCGGTTAAAAGAGAACACATAACTCTTCATTTGAACAAACTTGAATTCCCTTGTCCAAGGATGCTTTGTATCATGTTTGGTAAAAATTGACCCAATGCTTTTTGAAAAAGAGTAGAAAATATTAAAATTTTACGACAGTCAAACAGACAGATGAAAGACTAACGAAATATAATTAGAAAAGCTCAGGAGCTTTTAAGTCAGTTGATCTAAAAATGATTGGGTATGATGTCTTTACTTGATCCGGATAGCCAATACAGAAGACCCCCCCCCCCCCCTCGGCAAAAAAAAAAATTATAATAATAATGAAAAAAAAAATGAAATGTACTAGATTGGCTAGAATTTGGTCATGCAACTATAATAACTTTGAATATTTCAAGTTATGCTTGAAAATATTTTATAGGACTACCAGTTAGAACTACGTATGTCCGCACGTTAAACTGGTTAACAGGTATTCTAAGCATGCTAATACTACATGTACATGTGAAATTACGTTTACTATAACTTAAACTTGCACAATAATGATTTTTAATATATTATGGCTCTAAATTCGCTCTTAAGTACATCTGGGGGGACAGATAAAGAATTTTGTAGACACGTTTTTTCTTAGATTTCTTTATGTGTATTTGAAGTTTTGACTCTAAATAGGACAAAAAAAATGTTTGAGTAGATAATTAAGTCAAAAATACATATTTTATTAATGTTTGAAATGTGTGTCACGTAACTCATGACAGGCATATAACGTAACATGACAGGCGTATAATAAAACGTGACATGATTAAATTACATTTCTGATGCTTTGCAATACAAATAATTTGTAAAAAATAAAATCAAACAATTCCTTAAACAATGCAAAAAAAAATTCACTCTTACGTAGAAGAAAAAAGATTTTTAAGCTACTTTTGATGCGCAAACTGATGATCGTAACACTGACAGACTCCTCTACTTAGCCAGCCAAATCAACCATAAACTTTCATTATTTTATCAAAAAGATAATGTTGCCGTGAGAAATGTACATTATTCAAATTCTAATTCCTTATAGATTTTAAATTTGAATTTTTAAAAAATAAATCTCTGCTATATACGCTATACGCTTTGTAACATACAAATTTCCACCATGTCTGTCATGTTACGATATTTCTTGAGCAATACCTGTTTGAAACGAGCCAATAAAATTTAACAATCAAAGCTTATCTTTTATTCTTGGATACTATATTACACAAGATATTATTTTTTATGAAAATATTAATGAAATTTAAAAAATAATTCTTTCATATAGATCAAACCTATATCGTAACCAGGCGCGGATCCAGGATTTGAAGTTAGAGGGGGCGCAAAAAGTAGGCAGGGGGTCTGGGGGCCGCCTTGAGGCCCAAACTCCTGGATTCTAGAGATTTTGTAGGATAAAAATGAGGTCTACCAAGTAGAAATTTTTACATTTTCTCGACGAATCTATGATTTACACTAACTTTGACAATTTTAGGGGGGGGGGGGCGCCGGGTGCCCCCCCCCCCCTTAAATCCGCCACTGGTAACATGTAGAGATGCACGTATCCCTGACAGACTCATTTTAAAACTGCAAGAAAACAACTACAAAATTGTATTGTTAAAGTTATAAAGACAAATTCTGCCTTATGATACATTAATATTCTTAAATAAAAATACTTTTTGGTTTAATTCACTGAACGTATAAATCTGAATACATCCGTTTGATTCACGTAACATGAACAGACAATCTTTTTGTCTGTCACCATTACGACAGTATTCAGGCAATGTCTGTCAATCGGTACGTTATGTAAGAAATGTCAAGTTTTAAGTGTTTATGTAGTGATGAAGAGCGTGCAAGTTCATAATTTAAAAAAAAAAATCCAAAATACACCTACTAGTTGACAATATTTGATGATATGTGTTTAAGATCTAGGATAAAGACAACTTATATCTTTTATGAACGTAACATACTTTGTGTAACGTAACACTTGACAGACAAACGTTCGTGGCTTCTCGGGCTCTCTTGGTAGCTCTTCTTATCGAAATGTACACATTTGCATAGAAAACTGGAGAACATTTAAATATTCATAACCTTTAAGTCAAATGTATAATCTTGAAGAAGCATCTCCAAGCTCCATTCTTAAAATAGAACGTAACGCCCACTTGCCATGACAGGCACAGGAAGCATCCCACAGATTTGTTAATTTCTGAGCACACGTGCTTTTCTGTTGTAATTGATAAATACGTAAATCTTCTATCAGTAGACTAGAAAGATAAAATAGTTTGCATAAACAATGGTCCATTTTATAACAATGTACCCAGTGTATTGAGTCTGACAGACGTTACGTTCAAAATATGAGAAGAAATAAATTCCAATTTTTCTTTTATTTGAGACATAATGTGCATTAAAATACTTTTGTATGTTAATTTTATCCTTCCTAAACAGTAGTGAATGAACATATTCTGTGTACAAGGTATAATCGCCGTATATTTGTGTTTTATTTTGACATGGTTGAAAATGTCCCCCTACACATGCGTAATTCTTGTGGAATTATTAAATTCATTTCAATAAAAAAAAAAGTAAGTTGATGATAAAATCTGCTTATTTTATCTTTTTTATATATTTGCAATATACCTTTCAATATAAAACATTTCTTATTTCATTTTTAAAAATAATTTATTTTATATTCCTCTTGTTAAAATCATAGGTCAAGATGTACTCAAGAGCGAATTTAGAGCCTTATACACTGCATTCGTGTTTGGGCACTACCTGTGCTTGTCAACTGAGTCTGATTGTAATGTTGTTACGTTCATTCATGACGTCACGATTTTAAAAGAATGGTATTTTCCCATCCCCCTCCCATTTTTTTTATTCTGAAAAAAAAAAAAAAAACAAAAAACAAACAAACAACGAAATAAAACTCCCACCTTGAAAATTGAATAATTAGTTTGAGAGACTGGTTTATGAAGATATAATTAAGTAATAAGACAGTTCTTTATCAATGAATAATAATAGACAGGCCTAGATCAAAACATGTAACATTTTTGACAGAATCCATTCCATTATCTGCTGCTTACTGCAGAATCTGTTAGTGGCCTGACAATTTAGCTTTTAACATTAAGTGGTAAGAAACAGTTATATATTATGTCTTTAGCAAGAAACAAATTGTCGTTACACGTGAGATAATAATCATATAATGGCACGTCAGATATCAAAATCGTGGAAAACGTCAGATATTTCGGACTAGGCCATGCAGATATAGATCGTCCGTCAACTGCAGCTCAATTTTAATATAATGAGCTAACAAGACTACTAGCAAGAATCTACTATTGTAAATGATGTAGACAATAAAAATTTATGACTTACCGCTTGTAGTAAATTTATACATTTGTATCTTCAAACCGTCGTTAGGGATACAAAAGAGCTCCGATGTCAAGGGCGGTAACTGTAATGACTTTCTTACAAATGTTATTTCCCTTTGCAAGGTCAATATAGGCCAGGTCTTTATGGGGCAGTGTCTTACACAAATTAAATCTGTATGTGTATAGGTTCGTTATGTTTTCTTTCATGCCCCATACTAAACATACATGTACAGGAACGGTAAAAAAAAACTTTGAAGGTTTAAGTATTTACAGGTATATAAGTTATAATGAGCTATACGCCAAAAAAGAGAGATTAATGCTACAACTACATAACATTATTTTTGTATAGATAAATTATAGTAGAAGAGATTGGTAATAAATAGTTTGCCAGTGGCTTTACACTTGAAGAGAAAATACACAGTGCATTTTCTCTGAAAGTGTCAATGACTGCGATACTGGGGAGGGGGAACTCTGTAAGTTTCGGAGTTAGATACCATGTATATGTATGTTATTATATTATGCTACGAGATAAAACAGCTATTACAGAAATACATGTGCTCCTCGGAACGAAGACATTGCTCTCCGCATCTGGCAATATTTCATCCTTTAGGGGTTAACAAACATGTATAATCAATGTTGCCCTCAACCCCAGTTAATATTTGTATAAAATAAGCATTCAAAGTTTGATGTGCGTTCTTCGGTGGAATCATTCACAATAAACTACACAACAAACTGTTGTCGCCTTTTTCCTTACTTTAGCAATGCTATGGACAGGGATGTATCCAGGATTTTTCTTCAGGGTGGTCCAAGCACCTCGAGCAGACTCAAACTTTTTTGAAGAAGAAAAAAAAATAAAAACATAATAACTTGCCCAAACCTGAAAAACTTATTTTATGAGAAAGGGTTGGGGGGGGGGGGGTTAGGAGAAGACACTTTATTTTTTCAATTATCAGCAAATACCTTGAATTTTTGGTAGTGCTTTCCAAACTGAAAATGTTTGGTTGAGCCCCCTCCCCCCCTTACACACACACACACTGAAATTGCTTCCTACGAGCCTGAAGTACAATATTCACATCGCCCTCCTAGCTCGGGGAATATTTGAATCCTTAGGCTTAATTACTAGTCAAAAAACTTACATTAGTTCAGTTTTGATGTCGGTCTCACTTAAAAAAAAAGAATAATGGTGGAAAAGTGAGACTGAGATAAAAAGTGATCTGAGCTCATCTAAATTTCATGGCCCCGGAACCAGCTAGGTGTCTCAAAAACAAAAATATCTGTATATATACTAGTATGATTCCAGTTGTTATTTCATTGACTGCAGGATATTTTCTCTAAAAAACAAAATAGTTTCGAGATCTACCCCATGTAAATTCGTACTAATGTTGGTTCTTTTTTATATAATTAGTGATGTTGTAAAAAGTATTTTACCGACCCTTGTGGTGTTTACATACCTCCAGAGTATGATGAGTTGACAAACGTGACATCATCAATTTGTATGTACCACTTTCCCTATTTGAAGTCATACTTTACATGTCATGTCAAGGATGAGTAATTTTGAACACCGATTTTAGTACAAAGTAACTTAAGATACTCTCCTGACTAGTTTTCATAATTTTTGGCCATGTAGTTAAATAATTATTGCATATAACATATATGTTACCTGCATCTTTTTTTCTTTCAGTATGCATACAAAATATACATGTACTGAACAAAAAAAAAACAAAAAAAAAAAACAAAAAAAAACAAACAATACCTTTAATGGCATGCATACTCTACATATATCGATGAGAGTTCTATAATTTAGTTGTAACACGGAAAAACATCAGAATTTTTGACATTTTGGGAGAATTTTTTTTTAAACAAATCCCCCCCCCCCCCAGAATGTCTCTTAGACAGTGCATGATCAAAATCGACATTTTCAGCATAAACTTTACAAAATATCACTGCCTTTTTCTTCAGCTTGGGATTAAAGCTGTGCATTTCAACTTGATAATATTTAGGACTCATTTCAAAAATTGATTTTTTGAGATCGACCACTGTTCGTTAACTTGTAAACCTTTTTCATTTCAAATCGGCGTTAAGTAATGCCCTCGATTATTGGCCAATGTTTTCAAAGCAAATTGGTTGATGGGCGGAGTTAGCTCAGAAGATATATTTTAAATACCTTGTTGTTTTTGAATGTCAGGCGCGTAGCTGCCTATACGCAAATACGCAACTGCGTACACATCATTTTCCAAAAGAAAAAAAATAAGTCTAAGGGAGAGAGAAAATTATTCGGAGGAAGAAATCTCAGTACCATCTCCAACAAATATGTGTTTCAGATTATTTTTTGTTATACTATTTCTGTTCAAATATATTATGATGTCTGTATAATTAAATTTGAAATCTTTCATTAAATAATCATTGCCAAATCCAAAATCATTCATAAATCTGTAATTGTGTATACATTAATGATTTTATTTAAAGATCTTTGAGAAATTTGATTTCAAAAACATCGTTGAATGCTATGATTAACTAGTACTAGTTTATGATAAAAAAGATTCAATATTTAACTTATGTTAATAATCAACATTTATTATGATATATTTACTGTTGGACGTTGAAAGAGAGTATATGATACCAAAATATCGGTAAAATGTTTAGCCACAGTTACTCATACAATAACTACTTTCCATGGAACAATGAACATTGCGTTAAAAACAATAATACTATGTCTTTTTCTTTCTATACAAAAGCGAAATGGCATGATTTTTTTTTGCAAGAAAATGAATGAAATATTTGGAAAAACTCAGGAGCTTCTGGCGACTTTGACCCAGCCCCCCCCCCCCCCCCACTTGCTGTTCTCTGCGTGCACTTCACTTCCATTCAGGCTACGCGCCTGAATGTCATCAAAGCACTTGGTCGTGCCCATAAATTGAATACCGCACGTTAGTTATAAATAGATTTTAATTTCAATTGTATAATTTATGCAAAAAGAAAAAAAGAAACTTCACATCTACAGTCCCCGACATCAATGACATATACATGTATACTATTAGTATTTTACAGATATAGGTACATGCACCTGCTGACATTATAGGTTGCCATACCAACGACTAAATGTCCTCCTTCTTTTCTGGTACATGTAGGAGCGTGTCTATATATATCGGCGCTGTAGAAAGTTCAAAATCCACCATGTGTATATATTTAAAATTTCTTAGTAATGGGCTTTAAAGAGAGAATGTGAAGAGGTGAACTTACTACCTCCGCCTACTGTAATCTGATTGTACGGCGGTTTGTCAGATATCCTGTGTAACACCTATAGCTACATGTAGTTATACTCGTTATGTACATGTTGTTCGTTTTCAGAATCAGCAGTCAGGAAGACGCCTAATGAAAGAATAACCATGACAGAATAGGGTGACGGATAGCTCACAATCTCACGTAATGCAAAAAGAAACACCTGTAAGTTAAAGAAACTAATTTAAGATTGACTTTTACTTCAAATCATTTGTACAAAGTATTTACAGGAATCCACAATACATATTATAATATTTTTTTTTTTTAAATAACGTTTTTAGTTTTCAAGGAAGACCAGATTTGTATATCAGAGATATTTTATAGCTGTCTAATGAACAGGGCATCTAGCATTATCAAAAGGTAGGGCATCCTAACACATGGTACACCTAAGCATTATTAAAGGCGGGGCATCCTAACACAAGCCACGCCTACCACTGCTCTAAACTCCTCCTCATTTTCCTCCTCCCACGTGGCTGTCTCGCAATCCAGGACTTCCATACTTTCTACGGCCTCTCCCGTCGCCGTGCTGATCCCGCCCACAATATAGATGTTACATCCTATAAAAATAATATTAAGTATATCTAGAAGAAAAAAAAGGTCATCTTGTTTACGTGTAGTTAATAATTCTGAATCATTCTTTTATTATTTTTTCTTTGAGTTTTTTTTTAAATCTGCAATAGTATAGTTCTCGAGGAAGTCAAAATAAAAATTATACACAAGTCAAAAAGGTTCAAAATAAAATGATGCATTCCTAAAATGCTGATATTATATATCTACAAAATTGAATTTTAATTCACGGTTAATAAAAATTTACAGAGATTGTTTTAACATCATGATCTTTATGTTTTCTGGCCCTGTGGCCAGACGCTTAAAGCTGAACACGATTCGTAAAAGGAAAGTGTCCGCAATATTTGATTGGTTTCTCGCCATATCTGAGGGTCCCTATATAAAGCCGCTGACTTGGAATCAATCGTCACCGTTATAGACGGACGTATGCTATATAGCACTCGGTAGCGACAAAATATAACTGTGTAGTTCTTCTAATGCAGGAGAGAAAGATACCAAAGAAACTTACAACAGTTGCACAGGTCAGTGCAATATTAATATACAAACAAACACTTGTAAATACACTTAATTGCAATAAAAAGTAAACAAAGGTAATGCAAGACAAGTTTGGCTTTCCAGAAAGCCTGAAATGTCATCTCTTTGGCTTCATTAATGTCACAGAATAAACAGTGGAATGTTATATTATTTTCTCAGCTATTACAGGCAGTAGTATCGCTTTTGAAAAAATGGGGGGGGGGGGTGGAGGACAAAAAAAAAATCGACGATTTATCTGAACAATCTTTGACAAGGGGAAAAAGGGGCTATCCAAACTCAACATTTTCATTTCTTGGAAGGGAAGGAGGGATTACAACATTTCCGACAAACATATTTTAAATTATTATACATTTTCATGGGATGATTTGACGTACCATACTGCAACAAAAGGTGGAAGAGGGTTCAAGGGTGCGCCTCTTCAATGTTTGGTGCTATGTGCCTGTGTTATTTTACCTGTTGTAAATATGCTTTATTCAGTTTAAATATATTTTGTATAATGTCTGTAAAAAATTCTAACCACTGAGAAATATTCGTAAGAATTATTTAAAGTCATATATTGCGTTTTTTTTTATAAGTTCAGACTACCTAAATTAAAAAGATCTTTCTATTTGTTTTATTACTTTATATAAAAATAGGACTTTCCTGTAAATTACACAATTTAAATCAATCACGTTTCAAAGATATTAGAAATTTAAAACAAAAACCGATTTATTTACCGATTCAGATTTTAAACAGACACAGTTTTTTTTTAATCAGTCGAACTATGGAAACATAAGGTTATTCAAGTTCAAAATCGGTGAAAAATTTAATTTCAACGTAAATAACATATATCATGTTTAGCTACACCCAATCTCGTATTTTTATTTTTTAGCTCAGATACGCCATATATAGCTTTAACAATTATTCCGAAAGAAGAGGGATAAAAACTTAGCGTTCCTTTTGACTTAGGTTCTTATATAGCCGCCTACTACGGCAGCAAAGAAGTTTTAAAGCGGCAACTTAAATTAATCTATACCTGAATTAATTCCCAAGACTTTCCTTATTTTCCTTAATCGTATCCTCTGAAGTGACTTGGCCATCGAGCCACTGGGATTTGATTGATTATCGAGCCACTGGGAATATCAAAGGAAAAATTGAGACACTCCTGCATCATGCCCTTCTGCTGCACATGCAGATTCATGTTCTAACGCTATATTATGTATAATATAAGTACATGTACATGTATACGCTCCTGGGGGAAAAATAATGCATAGAAAGGTAATAAACTTGAAACGTTACCATTTAAAATTAAGTATTAACACACCGAAAAGAACCCCAATCTACCAACATCGATTTTATAGGCTGTTCCATGAGACACACATTTAAAATTTAAAATTTTGGCTTTATTTCAAGAATACGAGGAATGATTTCTTTTTAACCTTTTCTCATTGAGAAAAAACACAAATTAGAATTGCATAAAGAAAATTATAACAGTTGCTTTGTTTATTTATTCTTAAAATCTGGGCCAGGTAAAGAAAACTATCTTTTCTTATACTTTTCTACAGGGGTAAATTTAAATAAAAAAGAATAAAGTGCACACATCCGAGAAAATACTCATATAATGATTCTTTATGATCTTTATTCCAATGCCCGCAGCACTGAGTTACTTAAACCAGAGACATTTATGTTTCTGCCTAAATTGTGCTTTTAGGTAAAATTTCTTTTCTTCGAAATTTATTTATTTATTTTTATTAATTTTTTTTTTGAATAAGTTCTGTTTTATTTTTCATATATATATACGGCATTAATTATCGATTGACTAAAGTGCACATAAAAGTAAAGTTTTTGCCATTGTATATATGCATTTAATGTGAGTTGTTATTTAAATGTTTTCACTGTTTTCTTTCGTCAGTAAATCTTGGATCCACGCATTGGCTTATACATTCAATATGCCATGTTTTGTGTATTTTTATCCCTGCGCGCTGAACATCGTTTTACGCAATAGCCCAGATACAATGTTTATGTGTATAAACCGTTAATGAAGACCCACCACCACCCAAGTGATCCTACCTCTATTACTCTTAATGAACACTGGTGTAGTTTTACTGTAAGATGGACCATTTTGTTTAATAATAATAAGACAGACTTTGGTCAATTTTGTTTACATCTCTATATTTAGAAATCGTGTCATCGTCAGTTCCTTTGCCAGACCACCAGCTTATCAATGGCAGCTTACACTAGGACTTCACTTCCTGTGATTCAAACTTAATGTGTCATCTCCCGAGGGAGATGACAATAACCAGCACGAACACGGGTCGCCATTCCACGCCGATACCTGTGACAATAAAGCAGTCTGGTGTAACGAATGCGAAGAGTATACCCGGTGCTGATATCGTAGATAGTAATAATGAAAATGGCGTATGACTATTTGCGAGTCGTGTTCAGCTTTAATTTAGCTTATTTAAATATTTTCAGGTCAATGTTGCTCAATCATTCGCATGTTTGTTTTTCATTTATGCCTCTTTTACTTCCTATTACTCACAAGTTACTTTAAATTAAAGTGATTTTAAATTGATACATTCAATATTTACATTTCCAATGTCTTTGTCCGAGATAAAATTACAAATTGTAAATATACTTTATTTCTACATAAATCTACTGGTTCATCAATAGGCGCGGTTAAAAAAAATCACGTGCGGGGCGGGACAAATAGAGACAGAAGCAGGGCTATTAGCACGGGAATTTGCAGAATCAGGAGCATGTAAATATAAGGAATAACTGTCAGATTTTTTTGATTCATGACGATGATCAATCGATTGGCTTGCGTGATAATTTTAGGCATAAACGCCTTCGGCGTTTATGCAAATTATCACGCAAGCCACTCGATTGATCACATCATGAATCCAAAATAAAATAAGACAGTTATTCCTTAATTAAAATAAAAAAAAAAATATTAGAATTTTTCAGTACGGATTAGTTAGATCATGTTTTTAAAAGATTTTTTTTAATCTGAATAAGGTATTGTTACGAGAATAAGTGATAGTCAGCCTTCGGCTGATGCACGTACGAGGCCACTCGGGCTGATATGACATATGATATGGATTTTAGTATGTAATATTCTCTATAGCCTATACCATATGATATCGCAGTACGCTGTAGCCGTAATGTTTCACCCCTACTGTGTACTGCCTCAAACAGCACGTACATGTATATCCATTATACTACATATACATACCTTTCTTTACATACTCCACATTTGCATGAGATATACATACCTATAGCCACTGCGCTTGCGTCGTGTCGGGGTGTGATCATTTGAGTAAACTCCACCCATACTTCACAGAGATTCGTGTAACGATACACTGTACCGGAACTCAACACAATACCGCCGGGGGTCTCCTGTGTTGCTCCGCCGAGGAGATATAGGTCGTTGTTTACTTCTAAGACGTATGCGTGGCATAGAGGCTTTGGGAGACATTTCTTTCGAACCCAGCTGAATAAAAAAAAAAATGTATATAACCGGTTATAAACACGGTAAAAGATACGTTCAGTTTTCCAAAAATTTCATTAATTTGGCAATTTGCTTTTAATTGAACATAAGCGTCTGGAGTGAAAAGGCTCGATTAGTATTAAAAAGAAGCAATTCTAAACATGATTTAAAACAATCAGGACGGAAGCTAGTTATATTTTATGTAAAATATATGAGTCATACAAACCAGTTGAGTTTCGGATCATAACACTCCACTGTTGTTAAGACAACCTTTTGACCTCCACGATCAACCGCTCCACCAATCACAACCAAGCGGCCCTTGTACCCTGTGCATGCCACACCTAATTTGGGTTCTGTCATATTGGCCGCATAGTTCCAAGAGTCGGTATCTGCATTGTAGTATTCAACTGTATCTAAAGGCCTTTAAAAAAAGATTTGACTTGTTTTACGTACAAACATAAGGCTCATATGCTTTAAGTTGTAGTTACCCTAAAAAGGAAATTTATTATATATTTTAAAAGATTATAATAGGACATTTGTGTTCATATTTTCGACTTCTTTTCAAGAACCACTGAGCAAATTTCAACCAAACTTGCCACAAACTTCTCCATTATCAGTGGTCGACCTTCAACACAATCTTTGACATACAGTATTTCATCTTCGGGGGAAGGGGGGGGGGCAAAGAAAGAGAGTCATTAAAAAGTTATCAGAGGGGCTGTTCAGGACTGTTAATTTTTAATCAAACAGATAGACGGACAGCTAGACAGATTGAGACGGACAGCTAGACAGATTGAGACGGACAGACAGGCAGACGAACGACAGACAAAATAAGATCAGAAAAAGCTCAAGTGAGCTAAAAAGCATTTACAATGCACTTCTTACAACTTTCGGTCGTTTCTCAATGTTGAAAATTTCAGAGAATGAAGTATAGTAAATTTTGAGCATTATTTTAAGTGAATTTTATTAAGAGTTCTAAACTGATAAATTGACAATATATTTTGCTGTGTTTTTCTACTAAGCCAACTGTGAAATTGATTTGAATGCCATTTTCGTGTATACTCACGCGTAGAAATATGCACAGAGAAACTCTCCCTAAAGTGACGTCACAATGAGCTACACAGACGTTAATAAAAATGTAACGATATAGGGTAGCGAATAATTCAAACATTGAGTATATTTTGGTGCTTTTGATTATGTAAAATGTAAATATAAGGAATGTTTTAAGGTTAGTGTGAATCATTGGTGTAGCGCGCTTCATGATATATGCCTACGTGCAAGTCTGTGTGATTTACACACCAATAACTCACACAAAACTTAAAAATATTCCTTAAATAATGTTTTACCTTTAAAATTTGTTTCCTATATAATAAATCTTTACTTTAAAAAGTCTTATAATTTCCAATGTTTTACTGAGCGATCCGAAAAAAATGATGTTTGACCGCAGAGTGAGATGTTGGACCCACAGGCACTTGGGGTCTGGACCCCCCCCCCCCTTTCCATTTTTTCTTTTTAAATATGGGTTCGAGTCACCTTTTTCCTATTTTTGTATTCTAATATGGACTATATGTTATCAATAATGTAACTCTTTTGTCTCTATATGCTGTTTTTAAATATACCGTTTTCGACTGATACATAAAAAGAGAGAATTCAAGGCTTGCAACTCTTTTCTCGTCGTCTGCCTCACCTCGCTTAAACTTCGCCTGATTATTTATCTAAAGCATAAGCACACATGGAATATGCATACATCAATAAATTTGTTACACATTCTTCTTCCTTTTCATATTTCCATTTAATTTTTATGTGCCCCCGATTTGTAAATATTTCGATTAAATCAACCGCATCTACGGTAAATTTTGTCGATGTGCACTAGCTGGGACGGAAGTGCAATAACGGTAACTCTAACTTTACAAATGTTCTGTATTAAATAAAAATTCCAAGCTTTGAAATAAAAATATTGAGAAATTTGGTTGTCTAAGTCGTATGTTAAATGTTAATCTTCATCCATTAGAATCTGCTAGTTAGAGTTATCTTGTTATACACAAAACTTACCGTTACATATATTATGAAGAGAAAATTCGGGATTTTTTCCCTCTTTCATTTAAAGTTCCGAATGACATTACACTTCATGATGACGCCCGAAAATACCGGACACTTCCGTTCCAGCTAGTGCACATCGACAAAATTTACCCTAGATGCGGTTGATTTAATCGAAATATTTACAAATCGGGGGCACATAAAAATTAAATGGAAATATGAAAAGGAAGGACAGGCGCGTAGCCTGAATGGAAGTGAAGTGCACGCAGAGAACAGCAAGTGGGGGGGGGGGGGCTGGGTCAAAGTCGCCAGAAGCTCCTGAGTTTTTCCAAATATTTCATTCATTTTCTTGCAAAAAAAAATCATGCCATTTCGCTTTTGTATAGAAAGAAAAAGACATAGTATTATTGTTTTTAACGCAATGTTCATTGTTCCATGGAAAGTAGTTATTGTATGAGTAACTGTGGCTAAACATTTTACCGATATTTTGGTATCATATACTCTCTTTCAACGTCCAACAGTAAATATATCATAATAAATGTTGATTATTAACATAAGTTAAATATTGAATCTTTTTTATCATAAACTAGTACTAGTTAATCATAGCATTCAACGATGTTTTTGAAATCAAATTTCTCAAAGATCTTTAAATAAAATCATTAATGTATACACAATTACAGATTTATGAATGATTTATTTGGATTTGGCAATGATTATTTAATGAAAGATTTCAAATTTAATTATACAGACATCATAATATATTTGAACAGAAATAGTATAACAAAAAATAATCTGAAACACATATTTGTTGGAGATGGTACTGAGATTTCTTCCTCCGAATAATTTTCTCTCTCCCTTAGACTTATTTTTTTTCTTTTGGAAAATGATGTGTACGCAGTTGCGTATTTGCGTATAGGCAGCTACGCGCCTGAAGGAGAATGTGTAACAAATTAAATTCCATGTGTTCTTATGCTTTAGATAAATAATCAGGCGAAGTTTAAGCAAGGTGAGGCAGACGACGAGAAAAGAGTTGCAAGCCTTCTCTCTTTTTATGTATCAGTCGAAAACGGTATATTTAAAAACAGCATATAGAGACAAAAGAGTTACATTATTGATAACATATAGTCCATATTAGAATACAAAAATAGGAAAAAGGTGACTCGACCCCATATTTAAAAAGAAAAAATGGAAAAGGGGGGCTCCAGACCCCAAGTGCCTGTGGTTGGACCTGTCGATGAGATATTGGACCGCTTACGTCACATTGTGGACGGGATCAATTAAATCGTATTTGCATTCGTCATGCAGTGTTCGACAGCGACGGAATTGAGCGAGTTTATAATTAACCGCAATGCGGGTAAAGGATAATTATTAACATCATGGAAGGCAGCACAAAATTTTTAATATATACTTAATAAAAGGTATTAATAATTTAAAAAAAAACACTCATTGACTGTGTTATCGATCAAAATGCGTTTTGTCGACCCCTCAAACCAAATTGTTTGCTTCCTGGGTCCGAAAAAACGCATGTTGCCCTCGAACACACTGTCAGTAAATGTAGATTGTATAATTTATGTTGACCTTCTTCTATGACAAGTTATATGGTAAACAAGAATTTTCTTTCATTTATTTTCATACTTTGAATATATCGGAAATTTATATTTTCTTAACAAAAAAAAAAAAAAAAAAAATAGTTCATAAAACTCTTTCTTGACATCATATTCAAGGTGGATATAAAAAAATTGAATCCAATCTGTAAAGCTAATAATGATGATATAAATATCACGTTGCACCTTAAGCCCACATTCACCATAAAAGTGAAGCATTTTGGCACATAGACCACTTCAACCCCCCCCCCCCCCAAAAAAAAAAAATCTATCATGCATGCCTTTCCTAAGCGAAAAGGGAACGGGGTGGAAATCACTGCCCAGGTAAACAAAGTATGATGTTTCAAATAGAAAAACAATCCTCTGGCTAATTTCTGTACCTGCCAGTGTAATCGTGACCACCGACTGCGTATATTACTCCACTCAGGACACCGGCTCCATGATACATCCGGGGAGTCTGCAGGGAGGAAATTCGGGACCAGTAATCCTTATCAGGGTCATACCGGAAACATGTGGATGTTGGATTGGCTAAGTTTTCGGGTTTTTGTTGATCGTAGGTAGATCCGCCTACAAAGTGAAAGCATCTGTGTTAGAGGATAATGGTTAATTTTTTTTTTTTTTTGACGTAAAAAATGTCGCAAGTTAATATATACTGTAGATCCCCAAACTGATATTTGCAACATCTTATTTTCGTGAGAAAGTTATAATTATTTGGTATTTGCATGAATTCAATAAGCTATAGAAAAACATTTCTCGAATTTTGCATGTATATATAATCATTCATAATACAAATACGCGAGAATAAAATTTTCGCGATCATAAAATCATAGTCTCGCATTATTAGTTCAAAGTAAACTTGTCGCAAATAAAAAGTGATTTACAGTATACCCATAGATACTATATGCCAAAGAAGATGGGCAAATAAGGCGTGCAAAATGCCTATAGCTTCAAATGTATAAAAGTCATATTCATTTTGTGAATTTAGTATTTTGAGTAAAGATCTTATCATTGTAAGGTATGAAATTATGGCAAAACAAAACTTTTATGCGGAAAATTCTTTCAGCAAAAATCATTCTACGGTTAAAAAATGATATTCTTGAGGGTTCTAACCCAAGCAATAAAAATTCTGAGAATCATTTTCCTTAGAGACTAACACGCTAACCACTACGCTATACCGCTCATACCAAACATCGGCATTTTAATCATGTTTGTGATACGACCCTTGAGTAAATGGACTTCAAATGTATCTCGAAAGATACGGCATAGTGGGTTTTTGCCATGTTTTCGTAAACCGAAGAATGTATATTTTTGTGCATACTTTGAACATAATCATTCAAAAAAAAAAAAAAAAAAAAAAAAAGAAGCAAATACCAACTCATTTATATGGAAAATGTATGAAGAACTGATAATTTTTGCCCTCTTTGATGTATGTATGCTAATTTATTTGAAAATTAAATTTTTTCAATCTTTGTGAGATTTTTGCGATTTGTGGAAATTTTACATAACTCTGCTGTCTTCCCACAAATTTTTATTACAATACATGTTCGTTTATTTCATTTTAAATGAAATATCAAAGAAAAATTGTCATAATTGAGAATAATTTTTCACGTTTTTATTTGTCGCACAATAGGCATTTGTTCGCCTTGTTCGCCCATCTTCGTGGTTGAAGACGGTTCAACGAAGAAGTTGAAAATGTTCGAAAGTTTACGACCGACACACGACGACAGACAAAACGCTGCATTTCATTTCCGGAATTTTGCATTGCATTTCCGACATTTTTTTTTCATTTCCGACATTTTAATTTTCATTTCCGACATTTTTTTTTTTACATTCCAGGAAATTTTTTACCAAGTAGATGGGAATAAAATTTAACAGCATATAAATATTACACTTACATTTTTTTAAACCACGTTTTCAAAATAAAAATATTATAATACACTGTATATATATACATTTAAATGCAGCACTAAGCCTAATTAAAAGATTTGCATTTATTTAGTTAAATGAGCATGCAGGGTTTTTTGTTAAAAAAAAAATTAAATTCAATGTCCACTGAATTAAGTGTCGGTGACTGCACCGAATTAATGTTGGATTTATGATTTACTATTATTTTTTCAAAAATAATTTATAAGAAACGTCTTGAATTCTGTTTTCATTGCCAGAAAATAACTTTATGACTAATGTCGGAGATGAAAACTACAAAATGCCGGAAATGAAAACTACAAAATGTCGGAAATAAAAAAAGTTGAATATTTTTAAAAAATTCCGGAAATGAAATGCAGCCAGACAAAAACGGATAGCAATAGTTCATCTGTGTGACTCAGGTGACCTAAAAAGCATGTGAGATGCCCCCGCAGAGATTAGTTCTACATGTATCAATGGTATTGAGAAATCCATCTTCTTTCATGCAATTTCACTGTTCTATTTTCACAAAGTTTTATTTTCTGAGATAAAGTCAAGTCAGGTTTTATAACCCCCCCCCCCCCAAAGAAAAAACAAGCAAACAAACAAAACATTGAGATGGAATTGGGTTCAAAACTGGCTTGTTTCGGAAATAGTCAGTTTTGTAAAAATAAAATGTCATTAACCCACCGATAAGATATATGAATCCATCTAGCAGGCAAGCACAAGTATGATGCCTGGCATCAGGGAGGCTCGACTTCGATGTCCATTCCGATTTGCTTGGATAAAACTCCTCCACCAATCGACTCGTTTCGTTGTCTGTCATCTCGAATGGATCGACTCCGCCAATAACCAAGAATCGATCACGTGACCTTATCTTGTCTCTTGTTCTTACTTTAGGAGCTGCGATTTTTTTCTTCTCTTCCACTTTTTGTGTAGCAGGAGACAACTTATTAACAATCTATAATATCACAAATTTTGCTATTATTTAGTCATTACCTTTAGTTAATTGGTACATTTTTTTTCAACCCTCACTGCTCTGGAAAAATTATAAAATAAAGAAAAAAAATTATAATGCAGAATATGCAAATACTCGAATTACTCGAAATGCAAATGAGTTAACTTACATACAAATCAAAGGAAAAAGGGACATGATTTATAATTAAATGAGATTTGACATATTTTGCTAGAAATTATAAGGGACCCTACCCCTCTTGGATTAGGTGTTCTCTCGGACGCACTTGGTTCAGAATCTACAGGTTTAGCGTCCGCCATCTTTCCCCGACCTAACGAAAACTGCTCCTCTGTGTCACGTGATGGGAAGGATTCGGCCGAATCGAGACTCTTTTTCGACTCACTTCCGGAGGACTGTCCTGTGGAGTCAACTTTATTGTTCGATTGCTTTCGTTGTTTAGTGTCCTGCGTTTTATCACTTTGATAACCACGTTTAACATTCTCTGCGTATTCGAAACTTTTGTTGCCACTTCCGTTATGGGAACCATGTCTTACAGTTTCCTCTTTAAGGTTTGGTGTATATCCGGTAGATTCAGAAGCACCTCGCTTATGTGGACTTATTGCTGTTGTGTCTTTGTAAGTAAAATTTTGACTAGTACCGCCATTGCTTTGCAATTCTGTATTCAAAAATACGGAACCACACGATGATGTGTTATTAGTTTGGTTTACGGATGCCTTTTCTATGTTTGAGATCCGCCTACATGTTTGTGATTGCTCACTCACAGGGATTGTATACTGCCTGGGAGGGGGTACTTTCATTATCGTATATAACGTGCTTCCGCCTAACTTTATAGCGTGATATCTACAATGTATGAAGTAAAAAATATTAAGATAAGGTAGGAGCCGGACAAGGAGCAGTGTTATTTCAATTTTTAACCATTCCTCAATGTGCATGCACTATGAAAAAAACAAAACAATTTACCTGAAAGCAAAGTACAGCATTTCAAAACATTTCTGTATGCTGAAAATGTGTCTCTCTGGCTCAACGTGTTTGACAAGATCGTCTGGACTGATGTAAATCAATCGAACACACCCAACGAGGACAGGGGCGTACTTGATTCTTTCTTTTTGGTCGTGATCGATCCATCTGAGGACAGCAAAAAACACCTCAAGCTCAGTAGTGATCGCCAGCTGGTCTTGGGAGATTAACCATTCAACTTGATGCATTTCACACTGCAGAAATCCCTCCGACTGCATCATTGTTAAAGAGCATTTATTTATAAACCCAAACATTCGCTCGGCAACTTCCGTAAAACCTTGTCTCTGAGCAATCGGTAGCAAGAACAAGACACTGTCCCTTGTAAACGAGTTGAGAAAATCTTGACAAAAGTTTAAAGCACTTTTGATGCCAAGTTGTCGAGCGCAAATAATAATGGATTCAATGTTTTCTGCCGTGAGGACGAGTTCGTTTGTGTAAATGTAGTTTATCAGAGTCTCGGCGGCTTCAGCAGAGGCATGAGGGAGTATCACCTCTGATATCGTCAACGGTGCCTCCTCGCAGTATCGACTGGTGAACTTCTCACTGTGCGCTGCAAGGGCAAGTTTGTGGGCGTGAAATTCTTTATCGTTGACTTTGATGATAATATCACACATGCGTTGTGATCGCCATAAATCATAGAGAAACTGGTTCATCTCTTTGGTTGAAGATACGGCTTCGTTCATTACTTGTTCTAATCCTTTCATGAGCATTTCATCCTCGTAGCTTGATTCACTTTGTCGTTGCTTTCTGACCACCTCGTTATCAGAGACGCCAGCAAATACTTGTCCTTGCGATGTACCTGCTACACTTGACATTCCTTCTTTAATACTCTGCTGTCCCCTGTAATGGCGCTCATATTGTGAATTGTAGTATGTTCCTTGTTGTGGGGTTGATTTTGACGTGTACTGTTCATCTTTCACTCCACCCTTACGAGAAGATTCGGGCTGTGGTTCCCTACCTATGTTCCCATGGCTCAACCTCTCATTTGCATTGTAATAATCTGCATCGTTTGACATGGATCTTTTGTGTCTACTTTCTGCATCATAATACTGAGATGACATTCTAGATAGATGAGCATCCTGCTGTGCGGTGAATGCTGAACCCCTGGTGCTAGACGTTGCCCGGCGTTCTGAACTACTTCTTTGCCTTTGGGAGTATTCACGCTGAGCTGATCTGGATGCATGTTGCTGCTCTGAGTCATGACACGTTTCTTCAGTATTTGCCAAATGTTCCCCTCCATAGTAAAACCCTTGGGGAGCGTCGATGGACTCTTGCTCTCGTAAACTATGAAAGCTAGATTCATCACTGTTGGAACTTCCGTCCCGAACATCAAACACTGCATAATTACCACTTTCGTAAACTAGACGTTTACTTGGGAGTTTGAAATGAAGTCCGCTGGGTGTCTGCTGTAATGCAGAGCCCTCCTTAACAGGTTCCTCCCTCAGAGAGTGAAAATACTCGGCCACCGCCTCACGGTTCGCGCGAACCTTAGTAGGAGTCCTGCCTGTTCTTGTAGCCATAATGTTCTTGTCAGAATTTCTATGTTTACCTTTGTTGACAACCAAGCGACGTCTATGACGTCTTTGTACCTTTTACCTGAAGGTGACTTTGTAATTGTGACGTCATAATTACTTTCGACTCTGCCATTTTAGTGCACATCAATAACAAAAATATACATGTACATATATAATGAATCAAAAAATAAATAATATAAGGCCAACTTTAAAATAATGTTGTTTGCCCCGACTCAGAATGAAAATAAGTCGGAAGTTGGATTTTCAGAGAAAATTTCAACAAGAATGCTGAATTTTCAAAATTTATCTTCGGAATGCATAAAAAATATTGTTTCAATGCATTAAAAAATAATTGTTTCCTGGAGGTTATTTTTTTTTTTAATTTTTTTTTGAGTCGGCAGGCCAGAAGCAACGGTTTCAAAAGTGTGTGTGTGGGGGGGGGGGGGGGGGGCTTCCCAAAAGCTAATTTACTGTCCAAATCCGGAATTTGCCAGTGCTCAACCTTGAAAGATCAAAAAGTGGGGGGGGGGCAACCAAACATTTAAAGGAAAACTTACAATAGCAAAATAGCAAAATACTTTACTTAGAAAAAAAGGGTTACCCCCCTCCCCGATTTCCAAGGGCCTGGTCGGGCCATTTGTAGAGAGTCGGTCTGGAGAGGGCAACGAAACGTTTTTTTAAAGGTGACCTAATTTTAAAAAAAAAAAACCAAAACACTACAGTAATATTGTTACAGAAAAAAAAATGTTACATTCACAAACCAATTTTTGTATGCCCACTCTGCTAGATTGCATTTGGATTTTTGTTGTTGTTGTTGCGTAAATTAAGTTTCTGGTACACTTTCAGCCAAAATACATATATGGCATATTTTTACTCTTGTGTTTTTAAAATGCTACAATACTCGTCTTTGAATTTACTATATATACGAGTTATATATATATGAAATAATCAGCACTAAAGAAAAACAGGTGTACATTTTTCCTAAACGGGAAAGGTGGGGGGGGGGGGGGGGGTCATACTAAACTCCAAAGAAAAATCCCACTTGACTTTTTTTTGAACGAATAATAAAATAATAAGAATAGTAATAATAGCAAAAACTATTTTAAACAAAAAAAAAAAAAAACATGTATTAACAATCCTTTGAGGGACCCTTGATTCCTAGGGGCGAGGGATCGTAGGTCTTTTTTTGTTACCTTACTAAATGTATTTATTAACACTGAAACTACAGCAAGGGGGTCAAGGCTTTCGCCCCCCACCCTAACCGCGTCCGCTGACACTGTTGTTCAAAAGGATAATGTCACCTATTTGACATGCTTAAATTTAATTAATGGTTTTGCATATGTACAACATTCAATAGCCAATTTATATTTATTTTCAAATAGAATTTTTTACCTATAAATATTTAAATTTAATCTTTTGCAAAATACACACTATATCAACACACAAAAACTACAATTATGATAGTTTAATTTTTTTTAATATGTCATAAAGTGTCAATGAGTGTGATGCATTCTAAGCTAAAATTAAATCTAGTCTTCAAATGATTGTTGATAACCAGATCAAGATGATGATATTCAGCCATATTTAGAAACCTTCAAACTCAGTCTTGGATATTTACACTATCAATTGTACATGTCAAATATTTATCTTATTTATTTTAAAGATACTGTTAGCAAATCTGTCTTCAAATACATGTATTCTAATCATATTGATGTACATCTCTATTCCTAGAAAAGACCTTCCAAAGTCAAATCAGCTGATAATTCCAACTTTGGAATAAGTTTTAAACATATACTGTGAACTGCAAATTAGATATCTGGCAAGTTAATCCTCTGACGATCTATCAATATTTTAACATTTTCCTTTAAAAAGGACATAGAAGTTGAGTTTGAATTTCGACAATTATTAGTCATTCTTTAATTTCATTGATCTTTTTCCTGGTTACACTGTACTGTTAAACATGGTTACAGGGAACACACTTATAAAGTATTCATAATTTTTATTCCTTGCAATTAAAAATGTATTATAAACTTACCAGATATATAAAAAATTACATTTATAATGAATCAAAATTGTTCATTTTTGCACTTTGCTATAAGAGTGTGTTACTGCATGTACAAATAAACTAAATCTTTCATCAATTCATCTGTGGAGTTAGGTGGAAAAAAGTAAGTAAAAAAACCCCATAAAATATTGGTCTGATGAATTTAAAGAGATAATTCTCTATTGCATGTAACAAACAAGATCTTGCTGTACACATGCAAGTGCCTCTATAAACATAATAAATTTCAATCCTCATGAATATGGAATATGTACACTAAATGCTCTCACTTGTGAAAAAAAATCTAGCTGCCATTTTTGAGGTCTTAAAAGATCTACATGTATCCATCAAGTTTCATTTCATTCCTTCATTTTTCAAGCAATATCTTGTTCTGAGACAAGTCAAGATGAAATTCAAGTTGGTACAGTAAATCAAGATGGAGTGATGTAGGCTTGGACAATTTTGACGTCGTCCACTGGTCGGTCATCATTATCACATTCCACCAGCCCTATCCTCTGGACAACTGTCATTCCACTACTGACCCGGCCAAAGATAGCGTGTTTTCCGTCGAGCCACTGAGTAGGGGCCAGGGTTATAAAGAACTGACTACCATTGGTGTTTGGGCCACTGTTTGCCATGGATAAAATCCCTGCCCCTGTAGGTGATATATATAAGATTGCATGATGTTCGCAGAGAGAAATAGGAGAACATGTACCATTATTTGTAAATTGCTCATTAATTTTATAATTCAACTTTTTTTTGTTTGTTTGTTTGTTACATGTAATGTGTTTAGTCTTATGTGTTTATTTTTTATTTTATTTTATTCATTTATTGATTTTTTTCTTTTCCATTGTTGAAAATATTGATATTACCTTAGATGTTCATTTTCTCTGATACCATGCTTATGCAGAACTAAACTGTACATATGAAGGTTTGGCTACATATTCTGTAAGTACAGCTTGGATTTTTAAAAATTTGTTACAAGTAAACTAAAAGTTAAAAATACAGTCAAAATTCTGTACCTGTATGCTTCAGTTCATTCGATATTTCATCATCAAACTCTTTCCCATAAATTGAGGCCCCTCCTCTCCCTAAAATAGCGAAAAAATATTTATGTTACAAAACCTCTAACACATTTGAAAAATTATCATATTAATAAAATATACAAATCAGAAGCTCCATCGCATATGTCAAGTGATTTGCAATTGTCACATGCATAATCAATAATCAAGTGAAATACATGTACCAGTAAGTTTGATTGCAGTTTTTTTTAATGCTAAAATGAATTGTTCAACATGTAGAACACAAATGTACAGCATCAGGGAAGGGGCACAGATTTTGAAGAGTGAATCTTTAAACCTTTGTTCAGCGAATGACTTGATTATAATTTCACCACATTAAGTTTTATTCTGAGATTTACAACACTACAGAACTTACCCGTGCCTGTAGGATCCCCTCCTTGAATCATGAAATCTTTAATGATTCTATGAAACTTTGTGTTGTTATAATAGCCTCTCCTGGCCAACTCTGCAAAGTTACGACAAGTGTTGGGGGCATGCTTCCAGTACAGCTCCAGAACAATCTGGCCCATTCTGCAGAGGAACAAAGTGTACATGTGTATGTAACAGTGGAAGATCCAAGATTCTTTGAAAAAGAAAGGGGCTGGTCTGCCTTCAGCGTGTCTTTTTTAGAACATTTAAGCTATGCATTATTTTTAAAGCTTTGCCAAAAATACTCAATGTATAATAAAAGGATTATCTTTAAAAAAAAAAAAAGATATTGAACTATTTATCTTAAATAAATTTTGTGTCACGGTGACCCCTGGGCTTCCTCTAAATCAGTGTAAACCGCTCCTGGGTAAAATATATAGGGACTTTAAAGAACAAGTCTCAATAAGGCTTATCTGTGGTCCCTGGTTACTCATCAAATTTCGAACATTTATTAAATTTTTTAAAAATTAAATTTTATTATTAACTAATGACTTTATTATTTGAATCATCATCTAAAAATGTCAAACAATAGATATAGGAAGCATTCGAAGCTGCGCGTTGAAGGTAGGGTCCTTTGATTTTCATGAATATCAAAAGAAATCAGTGACAGCTACATATTTCAAAGCTTTCGTAAACACTGAGCACAGGTTTGTTCAGAGTCGAGTTTGAAATATAATGTGTATATTATATGGGTAAAGGTCGAGTGAAAATATCTTTGTTGAACAACCTTGTGCTCTATGTTTTTAATTAAAAGTATTGTGATTTTGAATCTCTTCACTGACTTCATTTACATGTGATTAACCTCTTTATGACCTGTTTAGAATCAAAACAAGCCACGTGGATTTGTATCGTTACGGGTAAATGCCTCCAGTAAACGTGCTAGTTCTCATTTGAAACGTACTCAGTTTTATATCGATCAACATGGACTTGTTTGGTTCATCTTGTTATAGTTTTTATTGCCAAAGTTTTGTGTAAAATAGAAAAATGTGTTTGTAGTTCATTGTGAATCTTGAACATATAATTCGTCTTTAAAAGAAAAATACGTATCATACCAAGATCTTCTTTTTATAGTATATAATCTAAATGTCTCCGCCCATTTCCATGTAATAGAAAAACCGTAGTCTGACCGGAGGAAAATGTTCCGGCATTTTTTAGTGCGAAAGGTGTTAAAAATAGGCTTGTATTTTTTGATATGTTTAATTATTCATTATAAATACACAATGTTTTAGTTAGAAATACTTCGTTATAAACAATGAAAACAAACAAAGTACCGTATGCTAATAATTAACCGGTAAACCAAGGGTGTAAAAAGGGACCACTCTACTATACTTAAGTAGAATACTCCTTTACACGAAAATGAAAATAAGGAAATTCGGGAGATTATGTTATTATGTTGTGATTATCCTTTGTAACAGTTTCGAGGGAATTAAATTATACATACGTGGTTTCTATGGTTACATTTTCAGGCTGCCATGTTTTTGGAGGAATACCTGATGTCGACATGATGAAAAGGCACAATTATTTAATTATCAATCTTTCCGAAGCCGGCTTTCAGCCTTTTGCTGGTGAACATGAAAGTCGGGATCGAGATACCGAGACCCATGTGGCAGTAACAACATCAACTTCTGAACTTGGACTTGGGTAATTAGAACAATTTATTGGACAAGGTAGGGACCTAATCTTTTTTCTACCCAAGACTGCCAATGTTAGTGAGCAGTGAATATCAATCATTATTTCACATTTGAGAACCTCTGGGATTGACCGCTGATTGAATCAGACAGTCATGTGATATTCAGCTGTTCAGTGACAGCTGCTATAAGCAGGATAAGCTGCATATAGACTTTTACAATATTATCTTAGGTTGTAGCTTTAATCACAAAAGTAGATCTTTGAAACAATGGTTTATTTCATCACTGTTCATTGAATGTAAAACTGAAGTAATATGCTTGACTGAATAATTCTTCATTATACACAGCTTAAGAAAATATAAATTCACCAACTGGTTTATAAAAATGATAAAATATATTGTAGGCTACTCGGAGTCGGACGCCTCCACACAATGGGGACGTTAGAGGAGGTTCGCAGGATCTGGGCCCAGGCCAATGGTGTTTGTTTTGATGTGGATTCTACTCTAGTGATGGATGAAGGACTTGATGAGCTGGCCAAATTTTGTGGGGTTGGCAAAGAGGTACAAGAATGGTAAAACAATTTAAGCAAGTTTAGACAATAAGTTGAATGATGACCTAAGAGGTACACATCACCAAATCTTTATAAATGACAAGACTATTTAACAGTTTAACCATGTAATATTTACATTTCCAATGTCTTTGTCCAAGATAAAATTTCAAATAGTAAAAATACTTTATTTCTACATAAATCTACTGGTTCATCGATAAGCATGGTGAAAAAAAAATCATGTGCGGGTGGGACAAATAGAGACAGAAGCGGGGCTTGTAGCACGTGAATTTGCAGAATCAAGAGCATGTAAATATAAGGAATAACTGTCAAATTTTTTGGTTTCATGACGATGATCAATCGATTGGCTTGCGTGATAATTTTATGCATAAACGCCTTTGGCGTTTATGCAAATTATCTCGCAAGCCAATCGATTGATCACATCATGAAACCAAAAAATTAGACAGTTATTCCTTAAATATGTTTAAATTTGTTTTTGTTTTGTTTTTTTTTTGTTTTTGTTTGTTGAATTGTTTTTTTTAAATAAATCTGTGTTAATTTTCTTTAGTTGAAACTTGTAAGCATGTGATATATAGCTTACTACATGTAATACACATGTAGCTATCTAATGTACTATTGAGAGGCAGTATTTGTGTTTGATACATTGTAATACTAGTATGATACAAATTTAGATGCCTAAATCAAATATGCAAGTGCATGCTGTTGTTAAACCAAGAGTAACAGTTTATTTGTAAACACTTTTAAACATAATGTTTAACATGTTTAATATTCAGTTCAATTTTATTTTACAGTCTTTAACATATAGAAATTATATTCTGTTTTATAAAAGAATTATTAATTGTCTAGGACCAAGAAAGCCATGGGAGGAGGCGTGTCCTTTAGAGAAGCACTCAAGGCTCGTTTGGATATCGTCAAACCTTCACGTCAAAAGCTGGAAGATTTTATTGCGCAGCATCCACCAAAGTTCTCTCCTCATATTCAGTATGATTTTTTTTCTTATATATATAATATATATTATTATGCTGAAAATATGCCAGTTTGATATCTATATGTGCTGTGATATCATATTTACGTGCAGTCATACTTTGTTACATGTATATTGCCACATGCAGTCATACCTTTTAAAATTGTTACATGTATCTCCAAATTGATGGGACCCAGAAAAAGAAAAGAAAATGTTGTTGGGACTTCCAACTTTGACATATCCATGGTATTCAAGATATCCGTGTTTAAAATACAAAAGTTCAATTGTATTTTGACAAGCTCTTCTGAAAGCCAGTCCTTTGCTTTCACTGCAAGAGTTATCTTTCTTGTCAAAGAAAATTGCTCTTGCAGAAATTTTTGTTGCAATTTCCAGGAAGAAGTACAGATTTTCAATTGCGTAAAATGTTTGGATGATTAACAACTAATACCCTGCATTTTGAAATATTGTATGAATTTTTTTTCCAGTTTTTTCATTCCTAAGTATGTTGTTTAGTTTTCTTGTGAGCACACTCTGTATATGCATATGGTTGATGCATGTACATTGTACATGTATAATTAAATATCAACATCATTTCTGTTGACAAACATCACAACTGTCTGCTGCAGTGTATGAGTTTGTTTTTTCATTGATGATTCAGTGTTAAATTTTTGTTTTAAATCTTGGAAGAAAACAACATAGACATTGCATTTCCAAATAAATAATCGATTTTAATATACATGTATTTCAATTTTTCTCAAATTGATTGGTTTTAAATTTCAGACATTACTTTTGTCAAATATTTTTTTGATAGATATGTTGACCTGTCATTTTCAACTACATGTATGTAAGAACATGTAAATATCATGGCATAAATTTAATTTAATTATACTTATTAATTGTTAATTTAATACATATTACAGGTTTGGCATACATGTATAGACTATAACTATAGTACAGTTGAACTTCGGTATCTCAAACACTGATATCACAAATACCATGGATATGTCAAAGTGATTTGGAAGTCCCAACCCTTATTCTTTAAGTATTTTACCCTGAATATCTCAAATCCTCAGATATCTCAAAGTTTTTTAGCTCACCAGAGCTGAAAGCTCAAGCGAGCTTTTCTGATCACATTTTGTCTGTAGTCCGTCTCTCTGTGTGTCTGTTCATCCGTCCGTCTGTAAACTTTTAATATTTTCGACTTCAGAACCACTGGGCCAATTTCAACCAAACTTGCCACAAAGCATCCTTGGGTGAAGGTGATTCAAGTTTTTTTCTAATGAAGGGCCACACCCTCATTCAAGGGGAGATAATTCAGAAATAGTGAAAATTTGGTGGCATATTTTAAAAATCTTCTCAAGAACCACTGGCCCAAAAAACACCGGTTAGAACGGTACATTCGGGGTGGCGGCAATGCGTGACTCGGGGTGGCGGCACTGAGGCGAGGAAAACATCAACACGGTGAGTAAATCTGAATTTTTTTCATATGTTTAGACGTGTTAGATCAGAAAATTGTATTCTACGGAAGAGAGCAAATATCAACCTACCTCTGACCGTTTAAAGCAGCCTAAAAGAGTGCTCAGTTTTCTCAAGCACTCCTCCTCACTTTTCGGGGTATCAACGTTTTCGACTTTTGACACAATATTCTGTTTCAAATTCGACCTCAGAATGGTTTTTTCCTTATAATCTTTAACAGTGATAAAGTAATACGATAGAATAAACTTCTATCCTACTTTGTAAGTCAATATATTTACTAATTAAGCCAATTTTGCCTTCAAACTCGATGCGACGCTCGGGGTGGCGGTTTCTGTGTCTTGCGGGGTGGCAGCATGTCTGAGAAATAGGGATTATTTTTTCATGCAGCGTTCTCCTGGCCCCCTTTCGAGACAAAAAAAGATTCAGATCTCTTAGAAGAATTAAGATTATGTCATGGTACGATGTTATTTCGCTATAAAAGTGGCTATGTCAAACTTTAAGAACCATATTTTTTTTATAATCTAAAGACCAGAATGAACAAGGAATGGGCACTATATAATGATAGTAGTGCGTTGCTAATATTGGTATTACTTTATACTAGGGATGTCAACGAGTACCCGGTTAACCGGGTACTCGATCGAACGTCCGAGGATCGAATACTAAAAATGGTACTCGGTTACTCGGAAGTATATTTTTTTCTTATTTCAAAGTACATATTTTTATCAAAAACTTATCAAAAAATTACTTAAATATTCATATGGTAATTAGCGTGTCGTCATCTACACCTGTAAAACACCTGTTATCGCCTGTGGCTGTGTATATACAGTAATTAGTGACCAATCATCTGGTACACAGCAGTTCTCACCTATTGTGGTCCTTAATTTTTGGATGGCTTCAATGATTGTTTTCAGTAAACATCGTTTAAGTATAGTCTATTATAGCCAAATCGTTTTTAAATTATTTCATTAATATATGGTAGCGAAATCGGACATGCATAGAAATACCGCTACCCACTTCAAAAGTGAAGAAATATTTAGATATAACTAAAGATTTTTAAAAAATTGAAAGTCAGTTTGCGTAGTGGGTTTAGTGGGAAACAACCAAATTATGAAATAATTAGATTAGCGATCCCAACATGCCCAACAACGTCTTTCTCCTTCTCTTTCGTTTGTCTAACATCACAAAACTGCCTTTAGAACAGATTGTCCTTTTGCGTTGATGAAATAGGTCCTAAACAAGAACTGTAAACCATTTTTATTTTTTTTATGTATTAATTGTGTCTTTTGAGTTTATTTGATAAATAAATTTGGTACCAAAAAATCATTTCCCTTTGACTCATTTGTTTATATACATTTATAAACGTGATAAAACAGCTTTGGGATTTAACAGAGCTTTACCGGGCTCAAGAAAATTAACATATTGTCTTGTATTTTCATTTTTACCGAGTACCCGGGTACTCGATCGGAAAGACGTCCGAGTAACCGATTATCAAAAATTGACCGATTTGACATCCCTACTTTATACAGTTCCTACATTTAAGCTTTGAACAGAAGTCCAAGTTAAGCAGAATAATCAAGATAATTACAATCAATGTTTATATACATTTATATAAATCCTTGTTGTTGTCACCACAATAAAAAAAAAAAACCTACTGAATGACTGTTGTTAAATTATTAATTGTGATAATCTGCTTAGTCGGGACATATGTTCAAAGCCGAAAGATAGGAGTTTTAAAAAGTAACAAAATAATTATATTTTGGGTTTGCCCATTTTCTGATCTGCGGTATTCCTGTATACATCATTTTCCAGGCAGGTTCGTACTAAACTAAAATTGTCGTTTTATGTGTATCACAGGTCAGGGATAAAATTATATATATTTTTTGAAAATTCTTATAAAGAAAAAGACAGGGGGTTTCATGGAAAAAGTTGACACCCACATTATAATTATTTTGTTTTGTATTACCAATATTAGCAACACACTACTATCATTATTTAGTGCCCATTCCTTGTTCATTCCGGTCTTTAAATTATAAAAAATATATATACTTCTTAAAGTTTGACATAGCCACCTTTATAGCGAAATAACATCGTACCATTACATAATCTTGATTCTTCTAAGAGATCTGAATCTTTTTTTGTCTCGAAAGGGGGCCAGGAGAACGCTGCATGAAAAAATAATCCCTATTTCTCAGACATGCTGCCACCCCGCAAGACACAGAAACCGCCACCCCGAGCGTCGCATCGAGTTTGAAGGCAAAATTGGCTTAATTAGTAAATATATTGACTTACAAAGTAGGATAGAAGTTTATTCTATCGTATTACTTTATTACTGTTTAAGATAGAAGGAAAAACCCCTTCTGAGGTCAATTTTGAAACAGAATATTGTGTCAAAAACCGAAAATGTTGATACCCCGAAAAGTGAGGAGGAGTGTTTGAGAAAACTGAGCACTCTTATAGGCTGCTTTAAACGGTCAGAGGTAGGTTGATATTTGCTCTCTTCCGTAGAATACAATTTCTGATTTAACACGTCTAAACATATGAAAAAAATTCAGATTTACTCACCGTATTGATGTTTTCCTCGCCTCGGTGCCACCACCCCGAGTCACGCATTGCCGCCACCCCGAATGTACCGTTCTACCCGGTGAAAAAAGTTGAAACTTATTGGAAACCTTTGTTATATAGTGTAGATTCACATTTGTTCAAATCATGACCCCAGGGGGTAGGATGGGGTCACAATGGAGGATCAAAGTTTTACATAGAAATATATAGGAAAAAAATCTTTTAAAGTCTTCTTCTCAAGAAAAGCAAAGCCTTGTTTAGTCATATTGATATGTAAGCATCCTCAGGTACAGTGTAGTATAGATTCAAATTTGCTCAAATCATGACCCCTGGTCAAAGTTTTACATAGAAATATATAGGAAAAAACTTTAAAAATCTTCTTCTCAAGAACAGCAAAGCCATGTCTTGTTATATTGATATGGAAGCATTCTCAGGTATTGTAGATTCAAGTTTGTTCAAATCTTGACCCCTGGGGGTGGGGTGGGGTGGGGTCAAAATGGGGGATCAAAGTTTTACATAGAAATATATAGGAAAAAACTTTAAAAATCTTCTTCTCAAGAACAGCAAAGCCATGTCTTGTTATATTGATATGGAAGCATTCTCAGGTATTGTAGATTCAAGTTTGTTCAAATCTTGACCCCTGGGGGTGGGGTGGGGTGGGGTCAAAATGGGGGATCAAAGTTTTACATAGGAATATAAAGGAAAAAATCTTTGTCTCAAGAACAGCAAAGCCGTGTTTAGTCATATTGATATGGAAGCATCTTTGGGTAGTGTAGATCAAAGTTTGTTCAAATGATTACCCCTGGGGGTAGGGAGGGGCCACAATGGGGTATCAAATTTTTAAAAAGAAATACATAGGAAAAAATCTTAAAAAATCTTCTGCTCAAGAACAGCAAAGCCATTTGTTACATTGATATGGAAGCATCCTCAGGTAGATTAAAATTCAACCCCCCCCCCCCCGTAAACTTTTCAGTACTGAATTGATTTGTGCTTTTTCCTAGCCATTGTGCTCAGGTGAGCGATGTGACCCATGGCCCTTTTGTTCTTGGTCCTATTTAGTTCAAGATTATGAGGTTTGACTGTATACACATTTAGATACAGCACAAACCCCATTTGCTTTATATTCTTAGAAATTCCTCAGCGAGCTGTTTTGTCTTTTATCACATGCAATGATATTAGTACAAATCTCTTTTCTGCTTGAACTTTTAGTAAGGTGTGATATTCTTGGCCGTACATAATTAGCGTCTCTCAAATAGTGACCTAGATTCTAATTGGTTGCCGGATTAGCTCATCAATACTGAAATTTACACAGCTTTACATTCACGTATGAAATACAAATGGGATAAAAATGAGTCAGAGTCAACGAGTGACGTAAGGAACCAATTACATCGTTTCTTACAGTAAAGAGGTGTGGCTTATGTCATCTCATCGTTTGTTAACAACAATCTTACGTTGCTAATGTTATGAATTTCTTAACCAATGAGAATCTAGGTCACCATTTGAGAGATTGCTAATTATGTATTGCTGAGAATGTCACGCCTTACTGAAAGTTTAAGCAGAAAAGAGATTTGTACTATCATCCCTTAAACTCACTATTGACTCAGAGTTACTTACAAAAAATGTAATTATGTACTAATCTTAATTGACTAGTAAATTTCACTTGACCCATATCCTTCATTTAGTAAATTAATTAATACGTTGTGTTAATTATTTTATAGGGAATTAATCTCTGAGCTACACAGCAGGAATAGGAAGGTGTATTTAGTGTCAGGAGGTTTCCAGAGCATTATTTTACCAGCCGCCAAAAGACTTAACATTCCAGTACAGAATGTCTTCGCTAACAGACTGAAGTTTTACTTTAACGGTAATGTCAGATACCTCCCAGCTTGTGGAATGTCATTCATGTTCGATCAGATTTTAGACAATTTTTTCAAAAAATTAAATATTGAAGTTTTTTATTAGCTGACCTCAACAAAGTTGGGGGAGCTTCTGTAATACCCTTGGCATCAGTGTCAGCGTCGCAGGTTCAAGTTTTGGAAGCAGATTTCTTTTCAAGTACTTTGATGCCCAATATTGATCAGAGATGCATGGACAATGCTTCTAGTATGTTTCATTGTAGCAGTCAGGTTTTAGATGCTGCATTTTCAGCCAAAGAATGACCAGATAAATGTTTCTGAAGTAACTATAACACTGTAGAGGGCTAGCCCTATATTGACTAAACCTGCAGGGATGATACGTCTGAGAATGCACACTACCAGACTTTCTTTGGATGCTGAATTTGACCTACATTTTCCAGATGAGTGACCAGGTTAAAGTTTTTGGAGCAGGTTCATTCTAAAGGAATAGTTATTATAAGCCCTTTGCTGACCAACGTTGCATTGATGATACATTTATTGATGCACACTACTCACACTCTAATACAGGCACCTGAGAATGCCGATGCAACTGGGACGACAGACAGCAAAGTTGTTTTTCGCTATCACAGAGGCCTGATTTTTATCATATTTTTTACTATTTACAACATCCTTTACTAAAATATGGTGCTTTCTCATTTTGAGCATACCATAAACTATTTTTCTGCAGAATATAAAACTCTCATTTTTTATTAAAACAAAATAAGAAGAGAATAAAGTTTAATTTCAATCCTCGTTCAAGAAAATTTGGTAAAACTGAGCCTATATCATTAAGACTGCTACTCCACAGTCACATTACCTGTTCTATATAATAATTTATGGCTCTTTACAACATACCTGCAAAATGTGGATAGTCTTTGTTGTTTAACAAGTGTGCTGCGAGGGCTTGATTTTTGTGGGTCAAGATCTTTTGGCTGTCATGAACAGCAGATGGATGTTTGCAAGGCAAACAATGATGACAGATGATGGCAATCGCTAACAACTTTTTAATTAAGTTTTTGATGTTCCCATCACCAAAATGTTGATTTCTACTTAGCAACCATATATATTTTGAATCACTTGAAGGATACTAGTCTTATAGCTTGGAACATTTAAATATTTAACAAGAGGCCCATCACTTACCTGAGATACACTGGCCACGATGTCCTCCAGCCCCCCCCCCCCCCCCCTATTTATTCCCATGTAAAACTTTGATAACTTGTTGTTGCCCCACACTATCCCCAGGGGTCATGAATTGAACAAATGTAATCTACACTACATAAGGGTGCTTCCATATAAATGTGAGTAATCATGGCTTTGCTGTTCATGAGTAGTATGTTTAAAAGAAATTTTCCTATATATAATCGTATGTAAAATTTTGACCTGCATGAGATGAGTTAATAAGTAAAAGATTTTGTACATGTAGCAGGTTCATCCCAGTTTGATTTTAAGCCCTAAACTTGTATTTATGATACTTATGTAGGGATGTACACTAGCCTACTTACAATGGATGCTGGATCTGACCTACACTCGGGATGAGTAATCAGGTTAAAATTTTGCTAGATCTGACCTGCATTTGCTGGATGGGTGATCATGCAGTTTCGAGTTTTTAGAATAAGTGCATTCCCAAGTAACTGCAAGCCCTACGTGGATCAAATTTGTATAAATCTTGCATCTAGGGATGCACACTACTAGATTATTAGTTTAGTGTGAAACTTTGGCTTACTTAGAGATAAAATTCGTTGAGGTGAGCTCTGTTATCTCCTATTTTTAATTATTACATGTTGTACATGCTTGTCCTCTGAAATGGTATCTAGAAGGTATAAAAATGTTATTTTTTGATCCAAATGAGGGATCAGAAGAAATGAAGAAAAGACTAATTCAAATAAAATGATGATTAAAAGGGCAAAAGAAAGAAAAGAGTATTAAAAAAAAACCTGTATTGAATGTGAGAATTGCATCTATTAGGGTTCCGCAATGATTACACTGTATGTTTGTCCATCTATTCTGTCCATTTACAAATTTCTAGTTTTTTCCCTAATAACATCATTGACTGGTCAGTTCTCTCCTTATACTTTATTACATCTTTATGGAATATACATTAAAATTTATACTTACAGGTGACTATGCCGGTTTTGATGAGAGTCAGCCCACTTCTTCCTCCGGGGGTAAGGCTGTGGTGGCCGGTATCATAAAGAATGAGTATCAATGCCAGACCTTAGTGGTGGTGGGGGACGGAGCCACTGACATGGAGGCGGTTCCTCCAGCAGTAAGTATAGACACCAGTAGACACACGTAATGACTATAACTTTTACGCAGTAAGTGTAGACACCAATTATGACTATAATTTTCATGCATTACATGTAAGTGTATTCACCCATAGTGACTTTAACTTTTATGCGGTAAGTAAAGATTTACTGGAGTATTGACATTCCATCTGAGTACACTCCACAAAGGGAAGAAGAAGTGTTACATGTGATTATTAAATCAATATTAAAAAAAAAATTACAAAATGAACTGATGTGAAACAATGAAACATGAAAAAACAAAGTAAAATCACACACATGCATGTAACTCCTAAATTACATGTACATATATGCACATGATTACGCGTGATCTTACTATGTTGTGAGGCTCAATTTTTCAATTTGAAGCTAGAATCCAGATATTTCTTTAAAGTCCTCTCCATTTTCAGTACTTATTAGTTATAAAATCTATTATGATCATCCAAAAAAAAAAGAAAAAAGAAACTTTGACGAATTAGTTGGATATCAGCCTTTAATTCTTAATAATGATATAATAGATTTGATGTCAATAAAAACAAAAACACAAGTTTAGCTTTGCGAAATTTTCCTTTCTCAGTCTTTCCATCATAAAGCTTAAAATAGACCCAGACGCAAGTTTGCTCACAAAAACACTGATGCATTTAGAAATAAACAAGGTCAATCAAGTTTGATTTATGATTACTCTAAAGAAGCACATTTTTAACGAGTAATCAAGTAAATAAAAAATATTTAGTTGATACAGGTACAGTGTATTCGGTATGACCGAACAATAATCAAGTCCTCAAAACTTGTTGACATTCCTAATATTTATTTATACCTGTCAAATATGTTTAGATAATCCGGATGATTCATTAATCTGGACAATTTGCTTTAGACCACAAGGATCTGAGGTAATGAGACCTGACTGTATATGAATTCATTATAAACCTTCATTATAAGTAGATTAAGATTTCCTAGAAGAATCACTATAAATTTCTGGTTTGCAGTAATTTACATGTATGGGGCATGAAAATGTCATGCATTCCAGGAAATAAGTTGTAAACCTCAATTATGGAGGAATTTTACTCAAACACATAAAATGTCACTTTTCATTTGACAGGATGCTTTTATTGGTTATGGAGGCAATGTGGTCAGAGATTCTGTGAAAGAAAAGGCCGCTTGGTTTGTGACAGATTTTAGAGAGCTTATTCAAGCACTGGACAGTTGAAGCATGTAAATTTTAGGCATATTACTTAAAAAAAAACTGTCTGTGACATGTATAGATAAATATATGTATTATAAAAGGTACAGGTATGTAAAAATAACTTTAAAGCAAAGATTCAAACAGATTAGAGGATAGCATAATATTGATAAATTAAGTTGATGTGATTTTATCTGTACATTTACAAGAGCATTTAACAAGGGAAACATTTCTCAATTTAACAGTTTCATCAGTTTAAATTGAGGATTCTTTGTCAGTATTATTTTTTTTTTTGATAAGCTCTGTATCATATACATTTGTGAAGCTTTAAAATATTCATAGGGCATGAAAATAATAACTGTTGCTGGTTTGGGTTTTTGCAATGTGTTCTTCAAGCTTTAAAAATCTGTTCATTACTAATTTAACTCTTCTTAGTTTTTTTTTTTTTTTTTTTTTTTTTTTTTTGTAACAACTTTAAATGAGGTACACTCTGAAAGTAAGGATTTTTTAACATACCCATATGCATGTATATGGTCTTTAGTGAACACTATTATGTACATTTATTGACTGGTTTCGAGGGCAATGCATGCAATTTATCAGACCCATAATCCAAACTGTTTGCCTGAGATCATTAGACCAAAGGCTTACAGTTTAGTTCGACGGGTTGACAGAATGCATTTTCCCTGAGAACAGTCAATAAATGATTTGTTTATCTTTTACTTTTTATTAATTGACATATCTTGCGCTGGCTTTCATGTTTGCGATAATTGATAAGATATAGCTGATCGCCTGATCCCGCCTACAGTTGACGTAAAAAACGTCATTGTGGTCCAATATCTCATGGACAGGGCCAATATGTTACTGAGCGGTCCAACATCAATTTTTTTGGACTGCTCAGAAATGTTAGACTTTCTTACAGTGTAGAGAAAATTTATATAGGAACAATTTTTACTTACAGTAAAAGTATTTATTGTACATGTACCATATACGGAAAGGGAAATATACATGTAGGGTAATATCAGTTATATAATGGTTGTGTATTTGAATAAATGATGGACTTTTAAGTTGAATGTATCATGTTTTATTTAAAGAGAAAAGAAACACAAAAAAGGGCTCATTACTTGCATTAGAATATAATTTTTTTTTGTCCAGACATTGATCTCTCCTTGAGAACGAGTGCGTCTGCTCTACCCACCACCATATTGGAACTAAGATCGAAATATGACCGCTATCATATGGATAATTTGCTCGGACTTTTCAGCATCTTTGAGCCCACATATTAATTATAAACCAGTGGTTGCCAATTTAACATTAAGGCCTTGGTAGTATGGTCAATATATATGTCTACGAAAACAGCTTGATGGAATCAACCCTCTATCGCAAATCCAACATGAAAGCAAAATACTGCAGGTGGTTTCATTACTTTTCATGGGGATCAAATTTTATGGATTATTTGGGAAAAAATGCAGTTTTGGTGATAGTTACATGTAAATTTGTATACAACTACATCGTCTTATTCTATCAATATTAAATTTTGTAGTTCGCTGGTCACCCTATAATTTCGTGTCAAATACGAAAACAACGAAAATTGATGTTCAACAAAAAAAAAATACGGTAATTCAACCACAGTACATGTACATTTGTATGCGGTTTTAAGAAGAAAACACAAAATCTAAAAGAATCACACAGGAATTGAATTTAATAAATAATTATGTAACAGAAATGTAAATAACAGAAACTGGATATTTGAATGAGATGAAAAAGCAACTACCTGAAATTTCTTGGAAGTGTGATTACATCTGAAGTTCGATTGATTCACAAAATAAGTTGACGACATTTACACCCCCCCCCCAACCCTTTTTAAAAAAAACTTTATAAGTACAACTGTACATTATTGTATACAAAACAATATATTATGAATGGAATATTTCACTCGATGTACTCGGTAGTCTGTATGTCGCGAGAACATCAATATTTTATATTTACAGTCGAACACAGACACGCTCCACTGGATCAAAAATAATATGGGATGTTTCCTCGTCATATGTACACTGTCCTTGGTGAACAAGTCGTTCATTCTCACACACCACAAAATACGGGGTCCGCTCCCGGCTAGACCAAGCGTTAATCCCGTCTGGGCGCCCCTTACAGCTAGGGAATCTCACCTCACACGGAATACAGTGGGCAGATTGTTTACAAATATTGCTATTGTACTCACCTGAAAATATAAAGTTGCACTTTGAATACATTTCCAAAACATTTTTTTAATTGCAATTTTTTATGAATATGATAATAATTATGTAGACTTTAGCCAACATCTCGATAGAGAGAGAGAGAGGGGGGTGGGGGTGGGGTTAGAAACTATTGCTAAAAACAATTATACTTGAAAAATTCTCTTCGTTCTGCTATTATTTGAAAAAAAAGGGATTAACAAAGTTGCAATTTTGGTAACATGCTAGGAACCCCCCCCCCCTTTTCACTTCTAATTAGCATCTCTACTTACATGGATCTTTGGGTTCCCATCTGGTCCCACATTTCACAGATAAAGCGTTATCACATTGTTTTGTTTCTGGATTCCAGAGAGTCGGGAAAGGACATTCAAACACTCCTATAACTCCTTTCGTGACCATGGAACAGTCTACGTGTTGAGCGCAACTTCCGGGATGAGGAAGTAGAGCTGTGGGCGTGTATTTACACATTTCTGTATAGGGATTGACAAGTGGTTTCTTGGTGGTTGGTTTGGGGGTAAGGGGTGTTTTCGTCGTTGCTTTCTTCTCCGTCATCGATGGCTGTTTCTTTGAACCTGCCCAATATATTATCTTAAATTGAATATTTCAAAAATAAACGGACATATCAATATGCAGGGTTATAAAATAAGTTTTTTCGTTGCTCTCTCTCTCTCTCTCTCTCTCTGTGTTTTAGGAATTTTAATATACGTCATAATGTGCAGATTTATGCATTTGAAAATATTAACACATGTACATATGTACCACACCTATTAATAACCTTGAATATAATACTTGGTTTTACTTTATAAGATATATTATATTAGTATAATTATGTTCTTAAAGTATCTCATACGTGGAATTACCAAGAAGACCGAAACATAAATTATAAGTTTGGATCAAGACTTATATTCCGCATGGTCACTGATGGAATGTTTCCAATATTCGTTGCTGTCTGCAAACCAAAATCGTCTCTTTTGTTAGCTCCGCCCACCAAATCAGTAATTGGTCGATCTCAAAGGTGGGTCGTTCCCTACATATGACTTTGACATCTGCTTATTGGGAGGGGGTGGGAGCAAATATTGATTCAAGAAAATTTAAAGGATTAAGTTAATATATCATTGAATATATTGGAAAATCAGTAATCATGGTACGATAATGTGATTTACTGAGTCGGACGTACATGTAATTAGACGTTACATGAACTCGTTTACTTGTATTTGAATTAGACCTAGGACAATTAATTAGGAAAAAAGATGGGAGGACACGATGTGTTCAGAGAACAAAAAGTTGGAAAAGTTTTAAGGTTGACACCCTCTGACAAGAGAGATAATTCTCACTAAAATATTGACTGAAAGTGTTTTTTCTTTATAGGAATGTGAAGTTAAAAGGCTAGCTATTTCTTTCAAATATTGTCTTGCAGTGCAAGGTATAGTGAAAGTATATGCACTTTAATTCTAAATTAATTCTTTTGGAAAATTGTAAGCGGTAAAGCAAAACTTTATATGAGTTAACGGAGAGATGCTGATCCTTAAAGTTAAAAAATAGTTAAAAAAATAAATGTTCGTGAGAATGATCAATATGTGCTTATTTATGCGAATGGATCGTTACATGTACGCGATCATCGATCGGCTATCAGCACACATAAAAACCAAAACGGAACTCATGTTATTTCTTGAAAAAATCTCTATACGGGGACCAAATAAATGACACACAAGAACACGATTTTCATACAAACGTGATGATTTTCTTTTAATTCTTTACGATGGTTTAAAATAATAAATCTTTCCATGATGTTTTTCCAACATTTGTTGCAAGTACTTAGAGGATGCGGGTATTTTTGATTAAATCGCTTCTAATGTGTTGACACGGTGAAAATGACAAATTTCAATTTAAATTTCAGATATTTAATTAGTGCAGAGTTCCTTTAGATTTTGCATATTAATTATATAAAAGGATAAAAAAAAAGTCGCCTTCAAAAGTAGAACTGTGCTACAATTTATATATTTATTTTAAGAAAATTTAATGAAAAAAAAACTATGCCACCAAAAATAAATAAATAATAAAACGTGATAAAACCGACGAAACTACTTACAAATATCCAGGTAGGATCCAGAAGGCACACACGCCTGCATCATGTGGTTGACCACTGTGTTGGATGGACACTTGAATTCGGCAGGTTTACCCACCACACACATCCAGAATTTACTACAGTCCGCGGGGTCAGCCCTCCACATCCCGAGATCACATTGGGAGGGGAGTCCAGACACAGCACCCAGGAAAAATAAAGCACATATTAATAATATCATTGTCAAAGGTCCCCCTTCAGTTCTCAGTAGACGTTTGGAGTGCTTGGTACTTAGTAAGAATAATTTTAATTATTAGATATGCTTTATGGCTTGATGTATCTCTTTTCCTTGCGTAGATTAGAATGAATAGAAAGGGATGGTGTTGAAGGGGTAAATGGCCGAGTCGGTTGTAGAGTAGGTAATAAATACGACCCCATTATCAAAGTCCTCCCCAGATTCCTCCAATACTTCTCGATCTTTGATCAAGTGACGGGAGACATTTGGGGAGGGTAAACATATGCACCCATGTTTACCCAGAGATACCTGTCATCTCCTCCCAGACTTCATCGATATGTATCTTTAATGTTAATAGAGAAAGAATTCTGTCTCCAAGGCTTCATGTTTGCGAGAAATTTGCTATAGTGACACCGTTAATCTTTAAACAGGACAGAGTACTGATAAACTAATGTTAAGGTTCTGTCATCTTTGATAAGGTTATATAATTCTTTTGTTTTCTGATTGAATACTCGTGTGTCCCTGTACGACACGACTACTCTTTCTGTCTCTCTGTGTGAAAGCAATGTTCACAAACTGACAAATTGAATTATACATTGTATTATACATTAATAATTTAATTTTAGTTGTAACACGTCATTTGATTGGATAAAAGATTTCGTTTATATTGTATAACACTAGTTGAAATCCCGCGCAAGCGCGGGTAATTGAATTTATACCACTACCGACAGAAAATACATTGTAGTTTCTACTGACAGCCTACAGGCTTATAGCAGGAAGTAATACGCTGTTCAAAATCCCGCATGTGCGCCCCCCCCCCCCTTTTGTAAAAGCCTGAAAAAATAACAATTTCATTAAATAATGTTTATTGTGAAACCTGTTATACTATCTTATTTCATTTCCGCCAAGGATAAAAGCAGCGAATATGCACATTTTACTGATAGTTTTTTTTTTTTGAAGGGGGGGGGTGTAAAAATTCACAGGTACTCGGGTCTTGGTTTATGAATATGTATGTACCTTTTTGATATGTAAAAAATGTACTTTTAAATACCTTTTTTACATATCAATAAGGTACATACATATATATAAACCAAGACGCAAGTACCTTTGTAAAAATTAGCTTTTTACGCCCTATGAATAGGCCGAGTATTTGACACAAAAGACTGTATACAGAAAAAAAAAACTGAAATGTATCGATTAAAGCACAAAATTTTACAGCTTTAATTGTATTTGAGCAATATCTTATTCATAAATTTCTCTTTTCATGTACATTGTAAGCAATTTTATTACGAAGTAGAAATTGTACTTCGGGTTCGTTGCCACGATGCTCTCACAGTGATGAATATACTACACATTTTACCAATAAATTTATTAGGAAAACCTACTACATGTACATATATCTAATAGTCTTTCGATATATAAATATATTCACAACTTATAGTGTTATCAATGATTTACCATTATTTCAATGACCATTTACACAATGACATCAGCTTTTTTATGTTCCTGCAGCAATAATCGTCTCGTTTTTCTTTTTAACATCGGGCTCGATGCTATATGATGTTCTAGAAGCTTCCGTCAATATTAAGATCGGTGAATGACAAAAATAATTTGCACATTTCCCTTTTTAATCGGTTATCACAACTTATTTCTTTTATGTCATTTAAATCAAGTTTTGATTGAATAATTCAGTGATGACGTTTTATGAAATAAGTAAAAGATTGATTGTTGTCAGTTTCATTGAAAATTGCCAGAAACTTAGATCCGCCAACCGGAAACGCCACCGTACTCATGTTTTTGCTATTTCATGGCTTTTTATAGAAAATAAAAGTAGACTTTTAATTTAATGCACGATACTTACAATGCCAGTGAAATCTAAATATAGTTTACGGACATCATATTGTATCTAGTGTATTCTTAGAGGAGTAAGTAAAAACTCTGGTACATCGGTTTCGGAGTTTATTTGCAAAATTTATAGATTTATAAGTATCTATTAGATAAGTTGCCTACGTCACAATGAGTTACGTCAAAATAGATATAAGATTAGACTGGTCATTGCTTCTCACAATTAATTATTTTCACTAAAATATAGTGAAAATCAACCAATCAAACACAGTGTTAGAATATTGGTGACCCACACGTCATCAGCGTACTCAAATACTAGTACTTGCTAATTCACAGTTTTCATTTAGAAAAGCATCTTCGCAAGCCAAGGGTTTCCGATCCGAAATCTCGAGTAGATTTCGGATCGGAAACCCTTGGCTAGCTAAGATGTTAGAAAAGAATTAATGACTTTTACTGAATTAAATTTAATTTTACTGGAGTAATAATATTCAATGACCATAGTAATAATTTTACTGCAGTAAAAATATTTTTTTGTGGAGTTAATTAATTGTGAGTAGTGTGGCCAACAGTGAACGCAAGCATCGTGCACATGTATATAAATTTAAATATATACGTAACGTACAGTTCCAATAGCACTAGAAGGTTTAAGATATAGATACATGTATATTGGAAAAAGAGTGTGATTTCGATACTTCAGAAAAAGTAAATAAATAAATATAAAAATGATAAAACGCGCCCAATGCGAGTAAATTTTTAATAATTACAAGACTTTTAGGAGTTTAAATTGAATCAAGAATGGTCACGTTTCGGGAAACGTTTTATTTCATAAAACATAAAGACAACCAGAAATACATTTATTAAAAGGAAGAGAGAACGTATTGTATGCAAAATTTGTATTTAATGAATTCACAAACACTATCAAGCTAGCATTTGTCAAGTATGAGACTAGAATGACGAGATAAATTTGCGAGTCAGCGGTGAAATATTTCAAACTTGAAAACAAATTTCTTTTGAAGGTGTTTGTTATCAAAACCGATGACAGTTTCTCTGCTTAAGTAATCAGACTTCTCGGCCAACACATCAAACAAGTCACCAAAACCGGATATAGATAAACGGAGAGAGGGCGCTGTCCTTTGCACGTCGTTACGTTGTTGGAAACGATATCCCGGCATTTTACCAACATGGTGGTTATCATCAGGAAGCAATTTCAGTTAAGGGGGGGGGGGGGGCTAAATTTCAGTTTGAGTAACTACCAAACAAAAATCCTTGACAAGCAATAAAAGAGACATTACACATTGTACAAGTAATTACTGAGGAGGCACCTTACTACAGTAAGCAAATTCTTTGGGGGAGCTAGGCATGCACCATGCACCTCCCCCGTGCCCCCCCCCCCCCCCCCCACACACACACACATTACAGGCCTGCTTGTAGTAAAAAAAAACTTAATTTGGAAAATGTACACATACAAGTATGTACAGAAAATATTAGCTTCAAATTTCTTGAAGTATACGACGTCGACAAACAGTTCTCCGTGAAGAGACACAGGTGCATCTCTATAGAGATCAAGATTTGGTTAAATTAAAAGAAAACATTGTATATTAGATAAATGCTTTAGAAATGTCTCCTAATTTAAATTGGTTTCAAAGAAGTAATTTCTATCCAAATACCATTTAGATTCAAAAAAAAAAAAAAAATTTCAATTTAATTCAGAGGCTAGACTGCAGGCCTGTAGGAAAAAAATTCAGTTTGGGAAGGGGGGGGGGGGGCGGCATACAACCAGACATTTTTAGTTCTGGGGACACAACTAAGCAAAAATTCCCCGTGACGCAAAAAAAAAAGAGGAGGGGGGATTGCACTTAGTATGGAGGAGACACAAGCTTAAAATAGGTATGTTTTCTATAGTATACTATTATACATATACTTTATATATCGGCCAAATTATTCCCGCCGGTGACCCCCGGTTCCTACGGTCATTTGTGGAAAAAACTTTTGGTGCTTCAAACTAATGAGTGAATTTATTTATATATAAATTATAATCAGCACCTGGGCCTACATTCGTCTTCCTCAATCAAAAGTTCAATAACGTTAACAATGTCCCATTGGTTATCATTTCATATGTATGCACTTCATATCGTGGGGTGTGTCACTAATGATTAAGTTGATGTTAATTACTCGATCTCTATTGCATCTTAAATAAAATTCAAATGTTGCAGTTGATTGATAACTTTTGGATCACCATTTTTTTTTATTGGGCAATAAAGAATATGTAAATTCTCTTTTTTATGAATGAGAGTTGTTTAGTGCATTTTTATTTCAAATATACGAGCAATATTATGAAAACCAGTGTTCCACTGAGAGAATGGCATCATTTTTTCGACTTTGAGTGAGAGAAAAAAACTTTCTGTGCGTGCATTATGATGTAAAATGAAATACATTTTTCAAGGAAATGCTTGTAAATGGATTATATGCATTTTTTGGTATTCAACTTACGGAAGACCTATAAATAAGGTGGAATCAAAGTTACAAGTTCCGACGGGGGGGTGGGGGGGTGGGTGGGTTTAAACACCTTATGGGATACCCCTCTCCCGTCCTAAAATCAGAAAGTTATATGCAATACAAAAGCTGAAATTGAAACAAAATTGGGAATCAAAATGGCTAATCGTGTTGTGGAATTTATCATCAAAATGGCTAATCGTGTTGTGGAATTTATCAGTTAACAAATAGGGCTTTCAACGTTTCTTGAAATTTCTCAGGAAGTTACTAATTTCAATTTAAAAGGTTATAACACAGAAATGTCACGCATTAAATAATTAAATCTGTGTATGTTACTGATCTAATTTGTTCTCCCTGTCTTCGCCCCAGGACCCTGTGGTTTAATTTATGCTTAGAGTTTCTTTTTATAGGGACAATTAATGTTTCTTTTGAATTTTTAATGAATTTCCGTTATATTTATAAAGTGATACAATGCTTGTAATTTTGACTGGGCTTTTCTTTTGGCTGATTTTTCGCAGTTAAAAAAAAACCGTGAGTGTGCAAAAATCGTACATATTTTTCTCTCTCCATAATAATGTAATTCATTATATTTAAAGAAAATTTTAAAAACAGTTCTGGCTATGATTTAATGTATTTTGACACTAATATATAAAAAGAACAAAGGTAATGACAAAATATGTTGAATTTCGTAAGTTCAAAAAGAGATCACCATTTAATTCATTATTCTCCATATGGAGTTGACAACGGTTTACAGAACTATAGAAGTGAGAATGATTTAATTACAACTACTTGTGACCATGCTTAACCAACACCAACCAATAAATAAATAATTAAACCTTGTTATATAGAACTCGATGGGACGGAGAAAAAACTTTGAGATATCTGAGTATTCGAGATATCAAGGGTAAAATACTTATAGAATATGTTATTGGGACTTTCAAGTCACATCCACATATCCATGGTATTCGAGTTATTGATGTTCGATGTACCGAAATTTAAATAAATAAATAAATAGATTTAAAAAATAAATAGAGATAATTAAACAAAGGTATTTATATGTATTCAACCAACTTTTTTTTTTTTTTCATTTTTATTGATTTTGACTTAATAAAGAACAAAGAAAAGAAAAGAATTAAGATTATTCAAAAGAATTTTTTTTTTTAGAAAGTAAGTGCACCAAACTTCACAATTTTCCATCTTTTAACATACAATAAGATTCGAATATACATATATTGCATAATAGGTGAAGAGATGATTCACCCTGTCTTTAAATAGAGATCATGGCAGTAATGTTTCGATTCAAAATTTAATTAAAAATTAAAACTATGACACTCCTAGACAGAAACCCGTCAGAGGTTACACTGAGCGCCGAAAATTAATTTAACTGACTAAGATATATAGTTGTCAAGAGCTATCACGACTTATTTCAGTCAAAATGTATGAATTTTCTGTGTTTAGTCGCTGTGTATATTGTATACAGCTGCAAACTCTTAATGAGGACTTAAAAAACAAACCAAAAACAGGATTTAAAATTAAGATAAACTGGCATTCTTTAAAAAAAATAAAAGTGGATTTGCAAAAATGTTTGAATGAGGATTTTCATCACGTAGAAACAATGTTAATTATGGAGAATGTCTCTCATTTATTTCCATAACACACACATGCGGTGATTGTTTCGACTCTTTCTGAGACTGAGAAAAAAGAAAGTCTTGTATTATCATTATGATAATAAATGGTATAACAAAATCATTTATGTTCCATGTATATAATATACCATGTACCTAATTTATTCTTAATCATCTTAATCATCATCAGTATATGGCTGAAATACTGCCGACTCAACAACAATCGATCAATCAATCTTACACACATTTTATATGTTTTCCCCAGAGCTTTAATGAGCCATGACGGAAAGCTATGAAGTCAATATACTCTTCACCCCAAATCTCGCATTCTTACTGTCAATCTGTATTGTAACAATATCTAAACTGCTTGTGTGGTCCTATTTAACTTTTCCATGTCCTGAAATACATGTAAATTTCATTGCATTTGCTTAATTGAACAAATATACAAACGCTGATAAAACAAATCAATAATTTTATAGAAAACAATCAATAAAATTAATAAATAAATTAATACTGTTATCACTGCATTAGGGACGAACACAACACAGTAACAAAAGCTCTCAAGTTTCAGATACATTTTATGTATTCTATACTAGCATTCTCTCTGAGTTAATATCACTTTCCCATTTCAAAACTTTCACTAAATTTGCACTATTTTCTTGAAATGACCATTATGCCCTTCGCTTCGGTAACCGTCTGGGAGGTATTCTTCTTTTTTTGTTACCCTACAAAAGAAAGTGATCCAAAATTTTCAAAAAATGCGCCAGTACCGCTTTACTAGGCAAACTATTGCGCATGCGTTCACGCCACATTGGACATTGCGAACTGGGATAGTTTTGATAAGCTTTGCGAGAACGAGGGTCCAGCGCTGTGACTAAGACGTGACGTCGCTAAGCCGTTTTGAATTATAAATCTGTTATTAAGTAGTGCCGTACTCGCTGTTGTCGGTGGAAAATTGTAGTTGCTAAGCACGGTAGGCGTGGGGGATTGCAAATAGCGACTGTTACCCACAGCGTTTTGGTGAGTTTGGAATCGCGGATTGACATATGCCTGTGTCGGATTAACTTTCATTATCTGTTGCATAGCCCTTTGCTGGAATAGTTGGTGTTGCATATTATGGGACTGCTGAGTCGGAGAGGGTTGGTTTGAATGAAATCCTTGAATATTGTTTAAAGATTGTGGTTGATTTTGATGTTGATGATTAAAAGAACGCTGAGTTTGTTGATGTTGCAACTGATTTTGTTGCTGTTGTTGAACAAGTTTCTGCTGATGAGAATTTTGAAGCTGGCGTGGGACATTTGTCTTTTGCTGTTGATTCTGGAGCTGTTGTTGATAATGTGGTTGATTTGGATGTTGTGATTGCTTTTGTTGTGGGGGCTGATTTTTTTGTTGTTGATGTTGCTTTGTGTTGGGAGTCATATGTGAAAACGTTTTCTTAGCTTGTTGCGCATTACGATTCGCTTGCTGATTTGCCTTTGGCTCAAATGCTTCATTTATTCCAAGGATATGATTGGAATAGCGTTCCATTGCTCTCTCGGATTTGGAGTGTATGCTTTGCTGCGCAGGAAGCTGGCTGGCTTTAATGTCCGCTATTTTTTCGCGCTTTGCATCTGCTACCACAACCTCTCTCCTGAAGGGGTTATTTTGAAACGCTCTACCTACCTGGCTAGTTCTGGGTGGTGTAGGTCTTGGTGGATGTTTTTGACCTATTGCTTGTCGAACAGTTGAAGGCTCATTGTAAAGTTGGGGTTTGGGATATGGTCCAACTGGAAGTTTTTGGACAGGTTGTGGTCCATGACTATGTGCTCTTTGAATTGGTTGAGGATATGTTCTAGGTTTAGGAAGTTGTGGCTGGGGTGGACCTTGTTGTCTGTATGGAACAGACGGGCCCTGTTGTGAATTAGGAAATGGACCAGGCCTTGGTGCATTTGGTTTCTGAACAATCTGAGGCACATTTTGGTGACGAATTGGCTGTGGTACATTGTGGACGGGTCTGGTCATAGGGGCAACAGCAGCTCTGTGTTGCTGTTGTACAGGCGGGAGGGGTTGCACTTGGGGTGGTTGAGAGTATGGCGGTCTCTGCTGGTTTGGATGCGGATGTGGAGCATGTCTTTGAATGGGTGTTTGTTGAACCACTGGTTGTCTTGGCATATGCTGAACTGGCTGAACAGGTGGAATATGTTGTTTTCTTGGTGGACGTCTTCCAGGTTTAGCTCTTACTGTTTGTTGATATTGTGCAGGCTGTTGTGCTTTAGAATACTGAGGTTGAGGAAGATTTGGATATTGTACCGGCGGTGTCTGATTTATTTGTGGATTGGGAATACTCGGTGGTTGTCCTCTCATTTTACTTTGTATTTCACTTATGAATGTCTGCAACGAATTGGGGTTTTGTGGTGGCGGTTTATTTTGACTTTGTGGTTGATTATAAGGTGGACCTTGCCGTTGAGGTGGTACCTGTTGTGGCATATGAGGTTGCTGTGCACCATGGAAGTTGGGAACTTGTTGTGGAGGATATTGAGCTTGTGGTGGATGGTTAGATGGACCGTAGTTTTGAGGTGGACGTTGAGGTGGAGGATTATATTGTGGTTTCTGTGGAGGAGGTTGGTACTGCTGTTGTTGGGGTGGAGGATTGTTGACCGGAGCCTGTGTCTGTGGTTGATTTGCATGTGGAGTACGTTGTATTGGCATCTGAGGTTGGGAGGTGTGAGGTGGATTTGTATGATGGGAAGCTGGCCCAGTTGGTTGATTTGGCTTGCCTTGAGTTGGTGCGCCTGGTGGCTGGTTGATATGTGGGGCATGCTGAACAGGTTGATTCTTTGGTGCATTGTTTGAAGGTGGAGCCGCCGCAGGTTGTTGATTATTTTGATTCTGGGGTTGATTGATATGAGGCTTTGGCGTCTTTGGTTGAGCTGGGGGTTGCTGATTATTTGTTGGCTTATTGTTTGAATTTTTTTGAGGAGGTTGGCTTGCTTGAGGTTGATTGATATGCGGTTTGCTCTGTTGTGGTGGTGTCTGCTTTGAACCAGCTGTGGGTTGAGCGTTGTTACTGTGTGACTTATGAGATTGCTCTGTTTTCTTTGCGTGGTGTATTTGTTTAACAATTTCACTTTTTCCCATTTCCCCTCGATGCATATGGTGAACAAGTCCCATTTCAAAGTCGATGGGACGGCCACAGGTATGGAAAGCTTCATCATATACCTGTCTTTTGCCAGGTTCGGGGTTTATACATCGTCCATGGAAAGCCACTCGTCCCGCCTGACAAACAACATAGAACGGGGTGTTCTCACGTCCTCTCCAAGTATTTATTCCATCGGGAAGACCGGCACAAGTTGCATACCGGATGTGACAGGGAGCGCAGTGAGCATTTCTGCAAGACTGGGCAAGGTAGTCACCTGAAAGATACAATAGCTTAATTAGTAAAATTGTAAGATTATCTGTAAAAAGATAAACGTTACTAAGTTTATACTACATAACGTTAGACACATGTAGTTCCACTTACATGGATCAAGAGGCATTTTCCTTTGACCACAATTGACAGTTGTGTAGTATTCACAACTTCCAGTAACAGTGTCATAGACCGTTGGATAAGGGCACTCCCTCAGGTGCTTTCCCCACCAGTCCTCCTTAGGGTCGGCTCCACAATCATAGTACTGAGCACAGCGGGTGGGGTGAGGAAACCGCTTGGTGGATCCTGGTCTACATGTAGGCCTCCAGGTGGATTCACTGAAGGGTGAATAATGCCTGGTTCCAGGTGATCTAGCACCTGGGTCACCTTGTGGTGCTTTCTGAGGTAATGGGTCTTTGTTACCTGTCAATATATTCGTAAGTTTTTCATTACCTGTCTAACACGATATTCATTAAATACACTGTATGTTTTATGATTATTAGAATACCATACTTCCGGCTATTTTATTAAACTAACAGGAATCTTTCAAATTCGTTCGCAAAAGGGATTGATTTTATGAGTATGTTTATTTTTTTTTTTTTATTTAAACAAATTACGTTTGGAATTTGTGCTCTGCCTCTATTTGATTTCTGAATCGTTCATATTTCTTTCCTAGTGTAAGACAAGTCATTAATAAGTAGCATATATAGCTCCTCCCTAAAAAAGTTTGTTTTATTATTTTTATTACTTTAATGGGAAGTTAATGCTGCAAAACATAGCGTTATGATGCTAGAAAAAAGGAAATAGAAAATAACAAAGGTAATATTAAATTCACCATTGTTAATATCCGGACGTGCATTACCATATTTGTAACTTGTCAGCGTAACATCACTTTACATAACTTGAAGTGTCATAAGTCTTTTAAAACTTTTCTATGCACAGACATGTTAGTCACTCTGGTGTCATACGAACACATCCTTTTGGAAAGTAATTCCAAATATTAATTAGAATGAATTAAATATTCGTAATTAAAATTAATGGGTTTAAAATTGTATCTGGATCAGCTTTATCATTCAAAGTGACTTCAGCCTTAAAATTTTGAAAATAATTATTGATCCTTTTAATAATGTATTTTAAAATTATATCAAGGTGCCCGCGTTACTGATACGTGTTTCTGACTCTACACTAATTAAAACAACTGACTGCTTGTTTAGTGAGCTCTTAATGAAATTTAATTTACATTTTCTGTCGTCTCTTGAAAATTGTCGAGAGGAATTATGACAATAAAATCCATCATTTTATGTCAAGGTATCTATTTAAAACTGTTTTTCATATAAACACAGGTAATAAGTTTAACATAGTTTTTTAACAGAAATATTTGATAAAGACTGCTACATGTATATTCTTTCATTAAGATGGATCTTTGCTTTATTTTACGTAAAAACATTCTCCGTTATATCTTATCAAACAAAATTAAATTTCAATTTTCAAATAAATAAAAATTTCTGTTTTAAAGTTTGTTTATTGACTTTTCGTATAGTATGAGAAAGAAATTATTTTGACTCTCACCAGCTTTTAAGTAGACGATTCAAGATTTTTAATTGGATATAAAAGAAATGTACCATTCTAAATAGAAATTTACCTACAAAGATTGAAGTTTTTTTTTAAAAATTATTTTTATTAATCAAGTCCATTTTAAATATTCATTCAGTACATGTATGCTTTTATTGTTCTTCTTTATCTGTATTTGGTACGTAAGTTTTTTTTTGTACACTGATGGGAGTAAACAGTTTCCATAAATTTGACTAATGTGTGAGCATTAAGCTTTTACCAAGAAAAAAATTAAGAGGTTATACAAACCCTGTGTGCACTTGTCCTCGGGAGATCCTACGGGAACACACGAGCCTATTTCCTGGTTCCACACGGTATTCGGACCACACTGTAGTCTCCAGTCCTTCCCCTGACCACAGAGGTAATACACTCTACAGTCCGATGGATCAGGCCGGAACTGTTGTCCAAGAACTCCATCACATGGCTTCTGTGTGACAACGATTTCCAAGCACACCGAAAAAATCACGATAAAAAATCCGAAAGGAATCATATCAAAGATGGCGTTTGATCCAGTATGATGTCGCACATACGTCCGACTCTTCGGAGCAACTCTGCCAAATGATTGCTGGTTAATGTAATTGACAGTCTGTTGTGGATTGCATATAACTTTTTTGAATATATTATATCCACCTTGTTTTACATAATTTAAGCTCTATTTGTATGCAAATGAGATGTCATGTCAGACGACGTCACAAATATGGTCGGGAAGTACTAAAGTATTGAAATTTGATGTATAAAATAGAAATAGTGATAGGTATTTCTGAGTTTTATTAACATGTATGTTATACATTGGATGTCAAACACAGAGTCTTGAAGTTGTCAAGGAAAAAATCATAAATAAGCATGTTTGAATTTCTTCCTTTATACAAATTTACTGCAATGTCATGCAAAAGGATTTTGCGAGCTTTAAATGAAAGTTAGGTACACCACTGCGTGGTTTAAACAGCTGATGGTTTCTCAAACAAGAATTGAAACATATATTACTCGTATACTGTATTAATCATTTTTAACAACGTTGTGTTTGACATCCACTTGCTACTCTCATTATTGATATCTGACAGCTGCATTAAGGACCCTCTATACACTGATGAAAGATGTTTTTGGACTTTGAGAAAATTATATAGTGTAAAGAAGGATATAAGGAAATTAACTAATTCATTTTCAATATAGGAAGCGTGCCTTTTTTATCCAGGAAAAATCTTCAAAGACAATGAAGTAATGATAAAGAAAAATCGCTTTTGCTTACTCAAATGGAGAAAATACAGCAAATAAAGTTTTCAACTACTCTATCTTGCTCTTATATAATGTCTAGAATGCTTAGATTTATTTTGAATTACATCATACAAAACAGATTAAAATTTATCCTATTTTGTCTGAAATGGTGAGTCAGTCTAACTACCCAAAAGTACCCCGAAATTCGGGTGAAGTGTAGAGAGGGTCCTTAAAATGTTATATTTTTTTGTGTTTACATCCTTATTTGCATTTGAGGGGGTTAGTTTTAAGTAGCTGTTGCTATCCTTGACATGTCTTGAGTAATGGAAGTAATGATAATATACTAGTACACTGAAATTTCACATCTTCACACATAATGGAACTAGATTAGCCCTTTTAAAAAATATCATGCTAATACATGTAACTATAATTTTCAGCAATTTAAATGTCTTTTGATGTCCTGCTTTTAAGAACCCCTTTTCTGATTTGTCCAGCGATGGGTTGAGGAAATGTGATGCAACAAGAAAAAAGTGTGGAGTGTAAAATGACTAAAGATACAAATTCCTTCTCAGCTATGTTTTAAAAGAGCTAGGTTCGCGTTATGCATAAAATGGCCCTGTCCTTATATCAATTAATTGACTATCACCCTCTGTCCCATTTCATATATCAAAATAAAGTAGAGACTTTGTTCTTTCATTTCCTGTAATAAAATTTCTTTTTGAGAACCCAGGTATTGGATATCAGTCTATTAGAAAATGCAATGTTCTTGAATTTTGCAGAAAACATGCGTATTTGACTATCTTCAGATTAAAATATGAGCACAACCCACGATCCAAAAATTAAAACATGTTTTATGATCTTAAGAAACAGATCATTCTTTATGTAATTGCATATTTTGGATCAGAGGTTGTGCTCTATATGAAATATTGAAAAAATACTTCAACTTTTGGCCATTTTTAAAGGAATTTACAGGATATGAGGAAAATGACGCATTTTATGACGTCATAATACATTGACTAGAGAGAAAATTACGTCATGTTCAATAGGTACATGGTCACCAAGGGTCCAAGTAATAAATACTGCATTTTCAACCAAAACTGAGCAGTTTCGATTTTTCTGAAATTCTCAGGGCCAAAAGAGGCCCTAAGTGGTTCTTGCTCTTTACGGGTAATGTTAAACATTTGTAGAATGTTAACAGCATACGGCGCACAAATGCAAAGAAAACATAATTAACTTATAACTTACAATACAATACAAGAACAAAATGTTCAGTAGGCTTGTTTGACTTCATATCTACAGTGACTGTAATCATTTGATTTTCTAAATTGTATTGATTGGAACGAATTTGTAAGTTGCTGAGATTGATTTATAGCTTATCATTTGTTTTACACAAATTTAAAATGACCGTGCTACTAATTATAATTTCAGGGACTATGAAGAAAAATTCTTCGTAAAGTAAGTAATGCACCGACTCTCTTGGTTACACATAATTTGTCAATTCCAGCAGGCTACTGATAAGTTAGATGTTACAGGGTATCAACAATCTCGTGTAATTTTAACATTTTGTAATTCTGTGATCAATACAATGACTTTTTCTTGACTTTACTTACATGTACAAATTTGTGCCATTCTTTTTGTACTGATTAATCTAGTTACCCTGTTTTATCTGACTGATCAAATGTGACCGGTCGACAAGGAATACTTGCACCTTCATGGCACCTGATCCCACCTCTGCTTCTTCAGAGGTCTCTGTTTGTACTGCTCTCATCTTTACATTGTTTTAATCGATTTGAAACTTGATCACTGTCCGTTATATAATTATCTTAACATTTCTATTTACTTCATAAGCAAGATAATCTGGATACATGTACTTCTAGTCTCTTACAAGGAATCGAGCTTTTTAAGTAAATCAAATGTCAAGACAACCGCAAGGAATGAGACTTGTAAAGTTAAGCAATCAACCATTTCATGATATAAAAATATATTCAAAAATAAATTGTGTCACTACATGTATGTACATGTACTTACGTGTAGTTTAGTAAATAAACTATAGGCGTTATTCATTATAAAAAGTGTTAATGCTTTTTAAATGTATATACAAATAATTTTCTTGCATGCAATCCCTCTGCTTAAAATAAGTCTAATAAATATACTTAGAAAATTCTTTTTTTAACATGTTCATTCAAGACTGATATGCATTTTGCAACTTTATGAAAACGCATATCTGGTAATATCACAAGGTAAGTAAGTTTTCTGTAATTAAGGTAATATATGGCATAATAGTTTTATTTTTAATTATTTTGTATATGACATATATTAATTGAATTAAAATTGAAAAAAATGGCCATTTATTCATATTCAAACATATGTTAAACATTTTTATTAATACATCATTAAAGGTATTTTTAGACAAAACAATTAAAATGTCGGAGATACATACATAACGCAGACTTGTGTCTAAATGAATATCTTCATACATTTTAATAACCTAATCAAGAGTGAGTTTTTATGATTACATAGCAAATAAAAAGCATTGAAATTGTGTTTATTTCTCCTTTTGGTAGTACAGGGTGTTTCTAATATATGTCACACATCTGAAGGCAGAAAGAAAAATTACACCAAAAGCTTCATAATAATTATACATTTTATATATCATAATCAACAGATATTTAAAATTATTATTTTAAGTCAGAAGTATCCAACATTCTCCATTTCAGTTTCTATGGCAACGATTTCCTAAAATGTTATTCTCCAAGTTTTTTCCTTACTATTGTCCTAAATAAGTTAAGAGACTCCTGTTCAGAAATTTCTCATCACTGCTTTGTACGTTTCACAGAATACTTACCAGATTCTAGCTCTTTAGAACCCTCAGAGTGCATATTTATTATTTTATTTAAAGATGCATTTAAATAAATGTGTCATTTTAGAACTACCGGTATGTGCTGACGTCCACTTTTTCGCACTTTCTTTCAATCTTGCAAACTTTACCGTCTCTGAATGTCAGTTGGTTTTAAATGCTGCAATGCTGAAATATTGTATGCAGACACACTCAATTCAAATCGAAGATTTCTAAATACACTTGATACACTTACATTGTCACAATCCAATAAACTCAGATCTGTCTGACTTTCTTGAGGTTTTTTTCATTGATTGACTTTACTTTGACAATGTTCTCATTTCTTCTTGATTTTTTTTTCAGGGGTGGGGGATGGGGGCAGGATTTAACTGTCTTTCATCTTTAAATTGTATTTTGTTCAATCTTCTTAATTATCCTTAATAAATGAAAAACTAGACAGCGCTTTCTGATCTGGATATTTTTCTTCATTACACCCTTTACAATATTTAGGATATCATGCTTCTAATAAAAGTTTACAAATTAAAATTGTTGTTGCTAGTTGTGCTCCATTTTGAGAACAGCTGAAATTATGACGTCACTAATTACATCATCAGTTACTTCATGGTATTATAATTTTCCCGACATTTTGCATTATCATAATTTTAGATTAATATGGTTGTCTATGGTATTTTGGTATTTTTGGTATCATGGTTGATATTTAGATTATGCCCATTTAGATGTGTTACATATATTATGAAACACCCTGTATAGGAATCTTAAGAGATCTATGCTAATACAAAATTATGCTAAAATTCAGTAATAAGTTAATAAAAACACACAAAAACTGAATTCGATTGTAGAAACACACTATGTCCCGTAAACATAAGTTCTCTAATTAAGATAATTACATATATATTCAACTAGATATACATTAACGGACGTTTGATTACAGGCAATAAAGGATGAATTTGAGGAGCCACATAGAAAACTCGAGTTATATTTATTTTGAACAGTTGTATTTTAAACAATAGAGAGGAATGTATTTTATCCGTATGTTAATGCATTATTCCCACCCTAAAATTTAAATGAAATATCAAACAATTTCTTATATGTAAACTGGATTATTTTTTAGAAACAGTGGTGCATTTATTTTATCATTATAAAAAAATATTCTGTGAAGTTAATTAATGTTAAATAATTTACTGATGTATATGTCGCAGTAACTAATAAACACTGTGTACTGATGAAGACATTTCTGATTGCTAACTGTTTTGTGGCTTTATAAAATGTTAACATATGTACATGTACATTTCTTAGGAGTTAATGAGAACGTAAGAGTTTATTACAGTCACTGTGTTAATTGCCATTTGCTAAGTTTAAAACAGCTACTTGTTTCCAAAACATCGATCATTAACTGATATAATATATATATTTTTCAATGAGGTAAAGATTTGAAAACAAAATCTTTCCAAGTCTAACTACATGTATTAAGGTAAAAGAAATTCCAGCAGAAGTAGAAATAAT